TACAATGCATCTCTCCTGTTAAGGTTAATGTAAAAATTGTGCGCTGTCCCTGTTTCAAAAAAAAAAAAAAAAAAAAAAAAAAATAAAAAAAAAAAAAATATATATATATATATATATATATATATATATATATATATATAAAAAAATGTGTTTCTCACCTTCCATGGTGGTAGGTCTCTCTCACCCTCATTCAGCTCGGGTCCTCTACCAGAGGCCTGGGAGCTTGAGAGTTCTGCGCAGTATCTTTGCTGTTCCCAGTACTGCACTTTTCTGGACTGAGATGTCCATTGTTTTTCCCGGTATCTGTTGAAGCCACTCTTCCAGTTTGGGGGTTACAGTCCCGAGTGTCCGATCACCACAGGCACCACTGATGCCTTTACTTTCCAGGCTCTCTCCAGCTCTTCCTTGAGCCCCTGGTATTTCTCTAGCTTCTCGTGTTCCTTTTTCCTGATATTACCATCGCTTGGTATTGCGATGTCCACCACCACGGCTCTGCTCTGTTTCTTATCCACCACCACTATGTCTGGTTGGTTCGCCATCACCATTCTGTCAGTCTGTATCTGGAAGTCCCACAGGATCTTGGCTCGGTCATTCTCCACAACCTTTGGAGGTGTTTCCCACCTTGATCCTGGGGTCTCCAGCCTGTACTCTGCACAGATGTTTCTGTACACTATGCCCGCCACTTGGTTATGTCGCTCCATATATGCTTTCCCTGCCAGCATCTTACACCCTGCAGTTATGTGCTTGACTGTCTCAGGAGCCTCTTTGCACAGTCTACACCGTGGGTCTTGTCTGGTGTGGTAGATCTGGGCCTCTATTGCTCGAGTGCCCAGGGCCTGCTCCTGAGCAGCCAGGATCAGTGCCTCTGTGCTGTCCTTCAGACCAGCCCCTCTCAAGCCATTGGTAGGATTTCTTGATATCAGCCACTTCAGTTATGTTCTGGTGGTACGCCCCATGTAGGGGTTTGTCCTGCCATGATGGTCCCTCCAGCATCTCTTCCTCTGGACCCCACTGTCTGAGACATTCTCTGAGCACCTCATCTGCCGGGGCCTTGTCCTTGATGTTCTCAAGGAGCTTGGATGTTTCATCCTGGACAGTGGTTCCCACACTCACTAGTCCTCGGCCCCCTTCCTTCCGGCCTGTGTACAGTCTCAGGGTGCTGGATACCCTGCAGGGATTGTAAGCTGGCCAAAGGAGGATATATATATATATATATATATATATATATATATATATATATATATATATATATATATATATATATATATATATATATATATATATTATAGAATAGGTTATAGAATCAGAGACTTTGTGATTTAACAGGCAGAGTTTTCCAATTGTAATTTGCTTTTGATCAGTTTTTCCATCAATACTATCTTAACTTTTGTTGCTTTACTTATACATCATGAAAAACTGTTTCTTTGTGAGATAACAAATGATCTTCCTCAAATAAAAACAGAATAAATAATGCAAACAAAACTTTTTCATGATTTTGTAGTTAATAGTAGTTGTTAGTTAATAGTTGAATTTTCTCAAAGGATTAATGACACTTTTCCAAGTATTGTACCACAAATAATCTTCAATTGTCTTCCCTTATAACAAGCAAATAGTGTTTCACTAGCTAGGACCACACCAACAACGACATAGTGCGAAGAAGTTTATTGATAATGTACGAAGCGAGGCAGAGATGGCTGGTTGAGACTATGGGTGGGGGCTCCGTCTCAATCTGCAATTGGCCCAGCCAGAACGGGACCCCCCTTGTAGGGGTCTTATGACTGAAAGACAAAATGGAGATGGGAGGGTGGGGTCGAGTTCGCAGAGACAAACTGGGATGATGGGAAAGGCAGCTACATATAGGCTTCTGGGAAATTCGAGCCGTGGTGGAGGTGAGTTGTGGTTCGCTGGTGAGAGGAGAGGGCAGCTGAGGCGTGGTCCTGCTCCTGAATCTCACTTCATCATATTAACTACATTTAAGTCTATTAAAGATAATTGAACCATTCTGCAGGTGGAAAAGTACCTAAACTACCAAAAATGACCCATGAGACTCATTTTCAAAAATTCCATTTGAAATGAAGGAAGTTAATAGTAGATGTTTTTATTACTTTAAACTAATCAGAATATGCCAAAGTTTCTCTGGTCAGAACCAAAGAAAGGGCCAAAAAGATCACATTTGGTCTGTGACCATATTTGGGGCTCTACATCATTCACATGAAAGCTCAGAAAAGTCTGAGATTGTTGTCAGGAATGGCCATTCTCTCAAATATTCAGGTTCAACACTTAAAACAAAAAAATTTGAAAATTTGAAAAATAAAAAATTGAAAAAACAATTGAGCAGCAACCAAATGTGAGATTTTGGGGGCTCACAGTGCCCCCCTTAATAAAGATCCCCAATACCTGACAACAGATTCAGAATCTATGACCAAGAACCTACAATAATACACATTTTCAGCTTCCTATTTCCTATTTCCAGCAGCTCTATTTTTGATGAAGTTCTGGTCTCTCAAACATGATTATAATTTAAGGCTTCAGAGAAAGTGAACATGGCCCCAAAATTTCAACGGGCCATAACTCAGGAACGACTCAAGGGATTGAGCTAAAATTTGAAATTCTTTCATTTGGTGATTTTTGAAATTTTTAGAGATTTTTTCAGCCAAATCTGAGATGGCTCATAGGGGAGATTCCTTGAAAATGGCTGATTTCATATGGACTGACCCAGCTTCTGGACTCAATTTATTCTTAGTTATACAAACACTGTACATGATTATTGGTGTTTTGGTTCTCAATACAACTATCCAATCAGAAAGCAGAATGAGCCTCATGAGTCTCTCATTTGGGTTGCCAGCTTCCATGCGGAAATCCAATGTGTTTAAACCTAAAAATCCCTAAACCCCAGTACCTGCATCAACCATGAGTCAGTGCTAGTGCAGCCTCTGCAGCTCAGGGAGGGAATTCTGGAGGTTCTGAGCTTTCACGTGAGACGTGGCCTGTCCATATGCTGTGAATAGGCAGCACCGGTTCAGTTGTGATTGTAGTTCCTTCTTTAAAGAATTGTAAAATTGCAGGATACATACAGCTCCTTGAATGATGATGCAAGTGTATTTACACGGAAATCTGAGTTTATTACGTTGTGGGTTATAATGCTGCTGTTTGTTTTTGTCTTTGAAATGGTTAATTCTATGGCAAGAGTACATGTTCTTCATATAAGACTAATGATTATCAGAACACCATTATAATTATTTTAATAACTCATTTCCACCAGCTTCAAGTCCAGCTCCTCTGACCTTCTCCAAAGTCATCACTATTAGCACTGCTGCTGTATGCTTTTAGATAGGACTGCTGGTCTGATAAGCAGCAAAGCTGTTTCCAGCCTCCCAGAGCAAGGGCCTGTTGACTTGTTGGTGCACATGAACACTTAACATTTTAGGCAGAGGTAGGTAGAGTAGCCAAAATGTGTACTCAAGTAAGAGAGACAGAGGAAGAGAGTTACATTATTGATCCCGAGAGATCAAGTGTTGCTGTAGAAAACTGTTGCAGTTTCCAGCAACATTTACACTACTGTAGCCCCAATGGCCTTTGTGTCTCAGTCAAAGGCCTCAGGGCAGTTTAAAAGGAGGACTGGCCAGGTAGGGACAGCAAATCCTGTGGAAGAGCCAAAAGTGTCCCTCATCTGTTTCTTGCAACATCACAGCAGTGGACCAGTGGAACCAGTGTGTACAATTTGTCTGCTTAGGTTACATGGAGTGGATAAATGCAGTGATATTTTACAGAGCATGTATGGAAACAATTTTGCGTTATGGTTTGTCAACATGGTTTGGCCCTGATCTTGCCCCTGTTTTGTCTGCCTCTAATCAATACCAGTCTCTACTATTGGCTGATGTGTTTTTTTTTTGCTATTTTTCCTTTTGCGATTTTTTTATTTCTGTGGAGTGCCTGGAAACTGTTGTGTTTTAGTTTTGATCCTTTTTCCAAGAGCACCCTTTACCTGCTCCCACTGATTGGAACACCTGCAGCAAACAGCCACATTTTTGTTTTTTTTCTGTACACATGGTTTGGTAACCTGTCAGTCTAATTTAAATCACAGATTTTTACCTTGACTAAAACAGCGGGCAAAGTAATGAATGTGGCCCCTAGTTCACCTCATCTGATGCTTGAGGAGACTCTACCAGTCTTCTCAAAAAACTAAGCAGGAAGGTGGCCAGCGACCCAATCCATGTTCTTCAGTTAGTTTAAGGTGATGCCATTAGGCGGAAGGTATCGGGTCCCAAACTGTAAACTGAACAGATTCAAACATTCCTTTGTGCCATTAGCCATTTAGCCAATCTGCTAAACTCAGTGTGCAGTTAAAAAATAAAAGTACAGTGAAAGGCTTAGGGACTGTACAGTCAAAAACTGCTCAGTGTGTGAGCCAAGTAGCCACAAAAGCAGCCAACCAGTCTATTGCCATGGGAGAAAGATGTGAAGAGTCATCACAAGTACTGGTACAAAGTAGTGGTCCAAGACCTGTATTCATGACACAGATTAAAAAAAAATATTTGGGAAAACTGCTACTCAAGTAAGAGTAGCTTGAGTATATGATATGTAATTTGAAATTAATATTATCTGAAGGACAAAACCTGGAATTTTCAGATAGACACAAAAATTAGATAAACTTAAGCTTAACACTAAACATATCTGTGGTGCAAGAAACTTAAAAGTTCAAATCATTTCATATTGTCAACATAAAGCTTTTATCACTTGTACATTTACAGTGGGAAGAGAAACAGTAGCCTTTACTCAAGTAAGAGTATGGTTACTTCAATAAAAATATTACTCCTTAGTAAAAGCATGCTACTACAAAAGTACTCTGAAAAGTACAATTTCTTTAGAGGGTTATTCAAGTAAATGTAACTGAGTACTACCCACCTGTGATTTTCTTCAATAGGATGGATATGTGATTTGTTGAGGTAAATTCCTGTGAAGAGTTGACATAAGGCCCGTGCTTGTGTGTTGTGCTTCAGTGATGGTCAGTATACGCTGTGTATGGAAAGGCTACGAGCGAGTGCTTCTGCCCTAGTGACGAGCCCCAGTGAGCATGGCACTCTTCAAACCTGAAAACGTGGAGGACTTCTACGAGCTCCAGGAGGTGTTGGGAAGGTGAGCACACATATTATTATTTATTATTTGTTTTTTTATTTAATTCATAAAGTATAAAAAGACAGCAACAGTGTCAAAACATCAAACATACAAGAAATGAATAAAAGGGAGCAGAAAGAAGAGTAATGTTATGTTATCTGCCCCCTTTTCCCTTTTCAAGACAAAACATCAACAACAATAGTTGCTTTAAAACATTTCAAATCAGTACATTTCAGTTCAGGCACAATTATTAATCAATTGCAAACAGAAATCTTCACTATTGTGTACAACAGCTTAGTTTTCTTTTTCATACATAAACATTGCATTGATTTTATGTTTTTTTTTTTTTTTTTTTTTTTTAATGCCATTATTGTACTTGATTCTTTTATATCTTTGTCAAGACTATTCCATAAGTTTGCTCCTCTCACAGCAATGCTTCGCTTCATAACCTTTGTTCTGAATCTGGGTTTTTTAAACATGTAGGTTCCTTATAAATTGTAATGGCTTGTTATCTCAAACAGATTTGAATATTTACAGGCGGTGTCGGCTGCAAGGTGGGGCATTTGAGGGCCGTGCCCCCCCTTAGCGGCCACTGGTGCCCCACCCCCCAGCGCAGGCCGTTATTATGACTATTTTAAAATGATTTTGATTGGCACATTTCACTTGGGGCTGAGGGCACAAACTTTACTGTGACATCAATGACATCACAGTCTGTTTATTTAGTGTAGTGTGATTGGACAACTGTTCTGTCACTCATGTCACGTCACGTCAACCTGCTGCGTCAACTCGTAGCAGCGTTACGATTAGCGGCAGCTGCTACTTCAGCCTAAAGCTCCACACAGGAAATGGCGAAGACAGAGTCAAAGACACATGGACAGACCCGCCGCCAGGACCCGGGACTGTAGCCGCCGGGACTCGGGACAGTCGCTGCCGGGACTGGGACTCTCGCTTCCGCCGCCGGGGCCAGGGCAGTCGCTCGCTGCTCTATCCGCCTTTGCCCGCTCGTTTCTGGGTGTAAAAGTTTGACCTGAGCATAGCGCGCAGAGGCATAATTCTACCTGGTGTCCTGGTGCTGATATGGACTGACGGTAACTTTCAGATTTAAGTGGGAAGTGGGATTAAGACTAATTTTACAACCAGCTCGTGCACTCGGCTCCTGGACCTCGCGTCACGGACCAGACTGGACCAGGATTTTGACCAGTTTCATCTCTTCATATTGGACAATAGACTTTTGAAGACAGAACCAATGGGACAGCGGATAGAGGAAACACTCTGCTTCAGTCTCTGGAGAAGGTAAGAGGCTGGTTTTCATTAGTTTGCGGCAAATCTGAACTTGGAGCCTCACAGGTAAATTGTGTTATAGTGTTAATAGTTAAATAGTGCGTAAATGAGCTCGCGGGTGCGATGGAGCTGCTCTGGTTGTTCTGTCGTGGAGGAGCGGCATCTGTGTTCATGTCTCTTATTGTAGTTTTGCTGACGTTGTTGGGTCTGGGTGTGAGCGGCGTGTTACGTTGTGTTGTTGCGTAAAGTTTGTGCTTGGCTGTTCATTGTGCTCTGATCGATACTGTTCAGCCAATACTAACCAAAATGTCTGTTTCTGGTATTTGTTATAATACTACAGCCTATATATATAATACATATATTATTCATAATATATATTTATAATTTTGCCCTTGGTGCCCCTCCCAAAAAGTATACCATCAGCCGCCACTGGTCCTGGTTTAGTCCTGGTTTAGTCCTGGTTTAGTCCTGGTTTAGTCCTGGTTTAGTCCTGGTTTAGTCCTGGTTTAGTCCCGGTCCCTCAAGTCTCAGGTCACTATAGAACAGGACTGGACGGCGTTACCCTCGCGCACCACGTTCACTACAGCCCTGGTGCTGTCGGATGCGTGGCTATTTCTAGTTCAGAGGTGTTTTTGACGAGAGGTTGTTGTTTAATGTTTACAACCAGTGGCCTTATTGTTTTTTAATAAACCTCAACCTTTAATTATTGTCTTGTGTGCGTATCGTCTACCACACAGCCTCAACAACTATTGCAGCTAATAATAATAATCTTAATATAATGATGATAATTATAACAACAACACATAATTAGCCTAATACTGTTAAAGAAAAACGTGTTTGATAGCATGTCTGCTGTGTATGACTCCACCGCGTTAAAATATTTCTCAAATGGCAGTGCCCCCCCTGCTGGTGACCCATGCCCCTCCAGGAGATGTGCTCTGACGCCGACTCTGTTTACAGGTCATACATTGCACTTTGCTTTATACATTACTTTGAGGATACGTAAATCAACAATATCATGCATTTTCAACACTTTAAGATGAACAAATAATGGGTTGGATGGCTCTCTACAATGACTGTTGGTGATAATTCTCAAGGCCCCTTTTTGTAAACTAAATAATAAAAGACCACATATAAGACCACATGGGAATAATATAAAATATATATAAAACATATTTTTAAAATCACAACCTATTGTCTAAAGAATTTGTGTTATTTTATTGTCATCATCAAAACAGAGTTTGAAATTTGAGTGTTTTATGAGCTATAGGCCTCATGTGTACAAGTGCACTGTGACTTCTCTGATGGACTGTATCTGTCTATCTATCTGTCTATCTCCATGGAGACACAATTAGGCCAATTTACAGGTCAGATCTTTGGTGATGTGAGCCCACACTAGGGATGTGAATATTTGGCAAAAACTATTCGAAAATCAATGACAGCTATTCGAATATTATTCGAAAATCGACCCCCCTTCCCCCGCCCGCACGCACACGTGCATATACGAGATGACAGATGGGGTATTTAAGCGCAAAAGTTTTAATCAAACAGCAACCTTCCAAATCAGAAATGAACATCTTAATTGAGCAACCCACATATGAAACAATATGAAATTATATTCAAGACTATCTCAATTTTAAAAACGCATGACCAAGCACATACTGTAGCCCACTGCGCTACTTTCATTGAGCTGCCCGCTGCAGAGACTCGCTCCGATGGCACAGACGTCGCAGACACACCTAAGTAAGCGCTCGCTAACTTTGTCAATCGGGGGTATTTCTGTTTGTTTGTTTTCCACCATGTCATCGGGTCAGTGTGGAGTGGGGGGCATATATCCTGGCAGTACTGAGTTCATTTGCGCATGTTCCCCTGTTTCGGCGTGTTTTGCTCTCAGATGGCTCTGCGTGGTAGTGGTTGATCTATGGTTTGCGAGCTTCACCTGACAGATTTTACTCTGAACATCTTTGTCACTTAACAAAGTAAATGACGACCATACGGAACTTTTACTTTCTGCATTGTTAATGCTGCGCGGTAAGTTTTCTTCTTCTGTTATTCCGGAGCAGCCTCTACACTCGGCCTAGTCTACCGCGCCTACAGGGACTTTTACAGTCTGTTAGCGCCACCTTCTGGCTGAATGCCGTACATGAAATATTGGTTAGGAAACGTCTTTATTCGAAATAACTATTCGATATTCGAACGTATGACGAATATTCGACTATTCGTAAATCATGTCTCATCCCTAGCCCACACACAAGATATGACTTGGCAAGACATGTTTTTCAAGATATATTTGAACAGTAAAAACACATGTAAGTGAATACATGTAAGATAAGATACAAACGTTTTAGGTGCATTCTATAAATGTTTAAAAATGTTATTTATTTAAAGATGCACTATGCAGCTTGGAGATGTTACCGCTTTGACTGAAATAATGGTGTTAAGCTTATCTTGTTTGGAATGTTCCACAATAAATCAGTGCTAAATATGTAAATATGAGAGAGAGCGCACTTGGGTACACTTTTCTGGACTGATATGTGTGATGTTTTTCATTGGATCTGCTTTAGCCACTCTTCCAGTTTGGGGGTTACAGTCTCTAGTGCTCTGATCACCACAGGCACCACCGATGCCTTACCCATCCAGTCCACTCCAGCTCCTCCTTGAGCCCCTGATATTTATCTAGTTTCTCGTGTTCCTTTTTCCTGATATTACCATCGCTTGGTGTTGTGATGTCCACCACCACGGTTTGTTCTGTTCTTATCCACTACTACTATGTCTGGTCGGTTCATTACCATTCTGTCTGTCTCTGGAAGTCCCACAGGATCTTGGCTCGGTTGTTCTCCCCAACCTTTGGAGGTGTTTCCCACCTTGATCCTGGGGTCTCCAGCCTGTACTCTGCACAGATGTTTCTGTACACTATGCCACTTGGTTATGTCGCTCCATGTTTGCTTTCCCTGCCAGCACCTCTGGCTCTTGTCTGGTGTGGTAGATCTGGGCCTCTAATGGTCAAGTACCCAGGGCCTGCTCCTGAGCAGCCAGGATGAAGCTCTGTGCTGTCCTGCCTGCTCCTGAGCAGCCAGGATGAAGCTCTGTGCTGTCCTTCAGACCAGCTCTCTCAAACCATTGGTAGGATTTCTTGATATCAACCACTTCAGTTATGTTCCGGTGGTTCGCCCCATGTAGGGGCTTGTCCTGCCATGATGGTCCCTCCAGCACCTCTTCCTCTGGAAGACATTCTCTGAGCACCTCATCTGTCGGGGCTTTGTCCTTGATGTACTCAAGGAGCTTGGATCCTGGACAGTGGTTTCCACACTCACTAGTCCTCGGCCTCCTTCCTTTCGGCTCGCTTACAGTCTCAGGGTGCTGGATTTGGGATGGAACTCTCCATGCATGGTCAGGAGCTTTTGTGTCCTAACATCTGTGGTCTATAGCTCCTCCTTTGGCCTGTGCATGAGGCTCCTGAGACAGTCAAGCACATAACTGCAGGTGTAAGATGCTGCAGGGAAAGCAAACATGGAGCGACATAACCAAGTGGCAGGCATAGTGTACAGAAACATCTGTGCAGAGTACGGGCTGGAGACCCCAGGATCAAGGTGGGAAACACCTCCAAAGGTTGTGGAGAACAACTGAGCCAAGATCCTGTGGGACTTACAGATACAGACAGACAGGATGGTGATGGCGAACCAACCAGACATAGTGGTGGTGGATAAGAACATTCCTGTCATATGACATGCTGCTCTGTGCCTCCCCCAGTGGCCACTTTGGGCAGGTGCGGAGAGTGCGTGAGCGTTCCACTGGGCAGCACTATGCTGCTAAGTTCCTGAAGGTGTTTAAGAACACGCGCAGCCTCCATGGCCTGGAGCGGAGCCAGGTGGAGCGTGAGGTGAACATCCTTCAGGCCCTCAGACACCCCAACATTGTGGCCCTCAAAGACCTGTTTGAGAGCCGCGAGGAAGTGGCCCTGATCCTAGAGCTGTGAGTTCAACACCAAACACAGAACATCAAAGCTTTTTTTCTGTGGAAACACAAACATCCCTCTGCTACCAGCTACTGTCATACAAACATGTTCTTTCATTTATAGGAGACATATTCTGCCAAATTGGCTGTGAAACCTGATAGTCCCTTTGGGATGATCAGTACAACAACATTATAACAGACAAAACTAAAGGAGGAGGAGGAGTAGAGAGAGAGGAGAAAGAGGACATGGTTTTGTTAGATGTGCACAGGTCACCAGCTCTGTTGACTTTAGACACCTTTATTTAAGGGCCATGCAAAACTGTAACAACAGACATGAAAATGAGAACAACCATGTCTGTACACACTCACACTTACCTACTTATGGGGCTAATTATCTTTTTTTATTGCATCAAGAACATGGTTAAAAGTTCAGATGTGGGTTAGGTTAGGGTTTAGGTTAAGGTTAGGGCTATGGTAGTGACAATTAAAGTTAGTAAAGTTACGTAAGTATCAAAAAGTATCAAAAAACATGGAAACCCATTGTGTGTGTGTATAGGGTGAGCGGAGGAGAGCTGTTTGATTTCATCGCTGAGAAAGATGAGCTCCTGGAGTCTGAGGCTATCTTGTTCATGAGGCAGATCCTGCAAGGCCTGTCCTACATGCACCAGCAGCGCATCGCACATTTCGACCTCAAGGTACTCTCTTTACCCAGATCTGGAGCAGATATGACAAAAATACCGTTTAAGCGCCTGGAGAAAAGACACTTTGACTATGGAAAGCAGTTTTAAACATAAAAAACCATCAGTATGGGCCCCTGTGTCTCAGTATAGTCTCTCTAGCCTCTTTTCCACTGGTACGGGTGACTTGGGCTGCCTTGGCATGGGTCTGTTTGGTGTGGCTCCATCTAGCTCTGTTGTGTTTCCATGTTCTAGGCTCCAGATCCAGGGGCTCTGTAAGACACTTATATCATCCAAACACAACTCATGTTTTCTAATTTAAATCTAATCAACATGCCTACTGTAACATACTAGATTAAAAACATATTACCAAGTTTTCAAACACTGCAAAGAAATATAACTTGGAAATAAATTTCTTTAGATACTTATAGTTAAGATAATACTTAAGCTTCAAAGGTAACAAAAAGAGGTAACAAATTTGGAACTGCACTCCAGTGATTTAATGAGTCTGGTATCTCAAACATACTCTAAGGTATGTAAATCTATCATTTCTAAACTTTACTGTAGTCTAATAAATAGCAGGGGCAATTCAACTGTTATACCAACCGAACATATAGGAGACTGCTCATAGCCACATATTCTTGCCTTGTGTTAAAGTTAAATATGTTTTGGACAAGTGTTGGATCAAAGATTAGATAAATAATAGGTGCTACTGTTACTCAAAATGTGATGACACAAGGGGGATGTACATAATTAACAAACAATGTCAGGTTTTTATTCAAAATTCTCTGCACCTGTGCTAAAAAGTGACAAAAAATAAATAAATCTAAATGGTACCACATTTAGATATACAATAGTTATTATGCTATGGAAATATAATATTTTGATCTTTATTTGCAAGTGCCATGCATCGAATATTTAAGTGTCTCAGTGGTGCCCCTGTGTCTCTAGTGCCCCTGTGTCTCTAGGGTCCCTGTGTCTTTAGGGTCCCTGTGTCTTTAGGGTCCCTGTGTCTTTAGGGTCCCTGTGTCTTTAGGGTCCCTGTCTCTCTAGGGTCCCTGTCTCTCTCTAGGGCTGCTGTGTTTCACTTGTACATTCTTTTGTGTGCAGCCGGAGAACATCATGCTGTCGGAGAAAGTGTCGGAGCCGAACATCAAACTGATCGACTTTGGCCTCGCACAACGCCTGGAGCCTGGGCAGGAGTACCGCAGCACCAGCGGCACCCCCCAGTACATTGGTGAGCACTCCATCCCACAGTATCCCACACCCCTACAGCTGTGAGTACCCCACCTCAGAGTACTCCACACACCTACAGCTGTGAGTACCCCACCTCAGAGTACTCCACACACCTACAGCTGTGAGTACCCCACCTCAGAGTACTCCACACACCTACAGCTGTGAGTACCCCACCCCATAGCACCCCATACCCCTACAGCTGTGAGTATCTCACCCCAGAGTATCCCATTTTTTCAACAGGTGCATTTTGATCAAAATTCTGAATAGTTTACAAAATATGGTGAGTGTGACAATCGACCCTTGTGATGACCCACCTCAGTTGTCCCCTTCTTTAGGTTTTGTGACATACATGTGTGAAGGATATGCTCATGTAACACCTTTGTTTTTCTTCACAGCTCCTGAGGTGATCAAGTATGAGCCTCTGACCACGGCTGCAGACATGTGGTGAATATGTTGCATTATTATTATTAGTAGTTGTTGTTGTAGTAGTTGTTGTAATTTCTGCTGTTAAACAAATAAATAAACCTACTAAAACTGCAGTTCTCTCCTCGCATATACTTTTTGTCTTGTAGGAGCATTGGGGTCATTACCTACATTCTGTAAGTTACTTTTCCTATTTATACGACTTTTATTACATGTCCTGTTTGTAGACAGTGAATTATAACAGTACTGCCTGGACACTGTCTTTATGTCCTCAGTCTGAGTGGTCTGTCCCCGTTCCAAGGGGACACTAATGAAGAGACGCTAAAAAACGTGATTGAACTGAAGTTTGTGTTTGAGGAGGGGCCCTTTAAAACCACAAGTGACATGGCTAAGGACTTCATCCAGAAGCTCCTGGTGACCAGCACAGAGTGAGTACCCCACAGTGGGAGGAACTGATGGAGGGCAGGCATGTGCTGGGGCAGTACCTGTTGTGGGGAGATTTACTTTGTGGGAGTTCTTTTCTGAGACACACTTGCTATGGGGGAGTAGCTGGTTGGGGGGGACTTGCTGTAGGGGACTAGCCAACTGGGTGAAACTTACTCCGGGGGAAAATGCTGATGGGTGCTCTCTGTGCAGGGAGAGGATGACTGCAGATGAGTGCCTGCTTCATCCCTGGATAAAGGTAACAACACCTTAGACCAGACCAGACTTACACCATGGTGTCCAGACGTCTTTCCACTTGGACCAAGTGAAAGGCCACAGACCAGGGGCCTGTACTGTGAATCATTCAGAAGGCTTGCATTTATCTGAGCTTTCAAAGTGCCACTACTCTTTAATTCAGTCTCAAACCCTTTCAAACTTGCAGTAGGAAGTATTTTTCTATGTGTATGTGGCCATACCAGCTTGTCAAAGCCTGATCCCATCAGATCTCAGAATCTAAGCAGGGCCGGGTCTGGGTAGTACTTGGATGGGAGACCACTGGGAAAATCAGGTGCCACAGTGGGGCACTAGTTGCAAAAAAAACCCAGTTGTTTTGTTCACCCACATTGCCTAGTATGAAAGTGGTGTGAGCATGAGTGATGGTGGTGGTCAGAGGGGCTGATGGTGCAGATTGGCAGCCTCACTTTGTCAATCTGCCTCAGTGCAGCTGTGGCTCAATAGCAACTTACCACCACTAGGTATGGAGTGAATGGTAATTCTGTGAAGCCAGAGTCCAGAAAAGTAAAACTGATGCATTATTATTATTCAGAATAATGTGGTCCATTTCCTCAGGACACTGAGGGCCAAGAAAAGTTCGAGTTTGACAGCCCTCACATAGACTGTATAAGGGAACACACAGCACACCATGTTACTCCTGCTTTCTCTCTCTCAGCCCATCACTCGTAAACAGACAGATAAAAGAAATCGATCCTCCATCAACATGAAAAACTTTAAGAAGTTCAATGCCAAACGCAAATGGAAGGTATGTGTCCTGTCTTCATTAATACTCAGTAGTATTTATTGAAATGAAAATTTAAGTAGTATTTACCTGTGTACAGATGTCCTTGAACATGGTGTGGATGTGCACTCGACTGCTCAGCCTCCGCCAGCACAGGAGGACCAGTCCAGAGGCCAACCCACTGCAGGTGGGACGTGCAGTCCTGTCATCTGTGGACCACACACCCCAGTGTCCCCCTGTCTCCTCTCCTGGTCACATTCTTGTTCCATTATCAGAAATATGCCTGAAGAGGGGTTAGATGTCATCCATGCATGAGTATTTTAGCAATCTCTCTGGGCCCCATGTGAACCCTCTTTACAATGAGCTGTAAGATTCTGTGCAATGCTCCGCCCACAAGCCTACGTCACCCATGCTCCCACACGACAATTCTCCATAAATATACAAACACATGATACAAAACTTTACACAGTGACTTGACAAACCTGATGTGATGTGCAGTAGTGTCATTAGCAGGATGATGCTGGCTGTGTTTTATGGCTCTGAAGGGGGAGCATTATCACAAGAGAGGGGGGAGTGACTTAATGTGGAAAGGAAGTGGAGGTCAGACTCTGAGTGCCAAAAACAAAAGGGAAGTTTATAAAACATGTTACGGTATTTTCTGTGAATATAGCATTTTCTAAACAACGAAATGTAACATGGTGATCTAACTGTGTTACACCTTAGTTGTTAATACCCCATAGAAGTGTCTTTGTCTCTGTCCCTGTCTCACTCTTTCTTTCTCTCTGTCTCTCTCCTGTTCCTATTCATATTATCAGGGTTAAACACAAACTTTTCTCATGAACTCTCTAGTTCTTGGTAGTACAGGCGTCTTGGAAGGTATTTCTGTGTGCCTGGGTATACTTGTGTCTACATGTATATACTTGTGTGTACTTGTATTCATGCAGTGTGTTGTGTTCCCACAGAGGGAGTGTGACAGTGATGTGGAGGACATCGAGGTCAAACCAGGATCTTTACTGCGGAGGCGCCTCAGCAGCTCCACTTAGGACTGCCAAATGTAACTACACCAAGCCCTTCTGTTTGAAGGAGACTGCCATAATGGTTTTCTTTACTCTTTTGAGGGCTTCATTTATGTTTGTGTAATGCTGCCCTGCTTTTGTGTGAGAGCTCATGTCTGAACCTGGGTCCTGTGCTCACTGTAGTTTTTCAGTCGTGTGTATGAACAAAAATTTTACTTACGTACGTGATTTTTGTGAGCTATAAAATGACAAATACATGGAAATTTGCGTTTTTATCTACACGCGTTGAACTTTACGCATCAAGAGATTAGGCAGAAGGAGATCTGAGCTCAGCAAATCAAGAAGTCAAGAAGTTTGTGGAAGTTTGTCTTTGTTTGTACATACACTTTTTGTGCCACTTTTTATTGCACTCCGTGTTCCTCTGTGCTTCTCTGTGCTGCTCTGTGCTCCTCTGTGTTCCTCTGTGCTGCTCTGTGCTGCTCTGTGCTGCTCTGTGCTCCTCTGTGTTCCTCTGTGCTGCTCTGTGCTCCTCTGTGCTCCTCTGTGCTGCTCTGTGCTGCTCTGTGCTGCTCTGTGCTCCTCTGTGCTCCTCTGTGTTCCTCTGTGCTGCTCTGTGCTCCTCTGTGCTCCTCTGTGCTCCTCTGTGCTCCTCTGTGCTCCTCTGTGCTGCTCTGTGCTCCTCTGTGCTGCTCTGTGCTGCTCTGTGCTCCTCTGTGCTGCTCTGTGCTCCTCTGTGCCGCTCTGTGCTCTTCTGTGCCACTGTGTCCTCCTCTGTGACTCTCTGTGCTCCTCTGCGCTGGTCTGTGCCTCTCTGTGCTCCTCTGTGCCTCTCTGTGCTCCTCTGCGACTCTTTGTGCTCCTCTGTGCTGCTCTGTGCCTGTCTGTGCTCCTCTGTGCCTCTCTGTGCTCCTCTGTGCTGCTCTGTGCCCTTCTGTGCCACTGTGTGCTCCTCTGTGACTCTCTCTGCTCCTCTGTGCCTCTCTGTATTGGAGTCACAGTCTCACTGAGAGACCAGTCTAAAGCCTGTGGTTTTCAACAGGAAGTCTCTCAACCTGTGTGCTATTACTAAGTCATTTTCATATCACTGTTGTGGTAGATATTGAACAAAATGTGAAGTCAATGTGAATACATTTTCACTAAAGCTGCACTGTTTAACTTTTTTCCGGTGGAGGGCCTGCAACTGCTTGTCTCTGTGGAAATGTTATTGTTTTGTTTGGAATTTTCCACAGTATTGCATTTAAAACTGTGACTCCAAGTTACAGGTATATCCAGGTATTTTGAGCAATTAAAAATGTGTAAACTGAATAAATACAAGATAGATAAGTTAATGCCACACAGTGGAACATTCTATACAAAGCAGTGACATCTCCACTGAGACTTGCACGGATCATTCTTTTATTTTGGTCATTTTTAATTGCTATTGTTCTAAAACTACTCCATAAAAGAACAAAGTATGTATTATGAACAAGGTAACCAAATCAGCTGGCTTTAAAAAGCTTTTGCAGCTGAAGTTTCTTTACCAACCAGGTAGCTTCTTCAGGGCTTGTATTATTGACTATGACTCCCACTAGTAGCAGTAGGTCCCTGAGACACACTTGCTATGGGGGAGTAGTAACCTGTGGTTTAACCTCAGTTGGTACAGCAATGAACTTAAACCTGGTGGGAGTTACAGTCAACACAAGGCTAGAAAAAGCTACCTGGTTGGTTGCAAAATGTCAGCTGCAAAAGCTGATTTGGTTAAAAATAATTTGGTGTGTGTAAAATTTCAAATATCTTATCACTTTATGACTCAAAATTGGAGTTCCATCCACTTCAAGTGGGTAAAAGAGAATGGAAAACAATTATAACATGGTAAAGGTGTTTAGTCCAGAGGGTGCTAATACTCATAGGTACTGACCATTAGAGCAGCTGGGAGTAGATGATTTCTGATATGTACATGTTTTTCTTCTTACAGAATTCTATAGTTTGGACCATTTCCAGACCAGTGGCATGTGATCTCCTCCAGGCCTGTGTAGCATATGAACCATACTGCTCTACCACGCTCTGTTTAACCCCTGTCACACTGGTAAAGAAGCAAAGCAGGGTCCTACAACCTGAACTGGGACTCCTGACTGCTGAATCCAAACTGCATTGTACCTACACAAGGGTATGGTGAAGATATGAAGCTATGCGCACATCAAACCTGTGTCTGAAGACACAAATCCCAGTTTCTGAACTTAAAGATACAATATGGACCTTTTCTGCTGGAATGTCTGTCATCTGATTGTATCTATGGAGATGCTATTGCTGTGTCTAGAGTAGGCTTCTTAAAAGTATCTAAAATCAGATACTAATCGCTACTAAAAGTAGTATTGAAATTAGATGCTAACTTGAGCAAGCATCGATACTAATAAAGTCATATTCACAGGATAGAACTTTCCTGAATAGCTTTAGAATGATCTTGAGCTGTATCAGAACAAGTGTAAGAGCACATAGAACCTACCTGGACTTATAGAACCTACCTGGACGACTGAGAGATTACACAGATAAAAGGCCACATAAGAATATAAAAGAAACTATTATCATTCAGTGTTGAAAATCACATTCTGTTGTCTAAATAAAGTGTGTTTTTAATACTCATCATGTTATCAGAATCTGTATTGAATATTAAGTCTATCCCTTGGTATCGAAATCGAGTTTGAAAGTTTAGTATTGTGGTAATTCCAAAATATGGCATTAAACCTGTATATCTCCATGGAGAAAAGCAAGTGATCAGACCAAGTTACAGGCAAAGCATCTCCATGGAGACAAGCAGATGGCAGACCCGTCACTAGAAAGGTTCCATATTGCACCTTTAAGACAACAGCCTTTGTGTCCATTACCTTAAAGTGCCTATAACAGCTTTAGACTTTTTAAACTTTAGACTTTATTGTCCCCAAGAGGAAATTCATTTTCACGTACACAGAGGCTGTTGGTCTCTTGGACTACCCATTTTACTAAAACACAGTTAGGATAATTATATAAATATATATATAAGATTATATCATCATATATCAGTTTTTTTTCCCAGTTTACTTTGTGGTTGGAAATTATGACATCACCCCAGTGAAATCTATACTGTTATCTAGCAGCCATCTTATACACTGGGTCAAAACTCCTCTAATGTACACAGAAATTATTATTTAACAAATAAAAATGTAAGAAAATAACTATTTAGTTGCAAAGTTTAAAGAAAGATCAGAAAAATGTGTTTATGTGTAAATTGCGTTAAAATTTGGGATAGAATGCAATATCATCAATATGTTTTATAACTCTCTACTTCCTATAATTTCAACATATTTTCCACTTTTTTTTCTTCCCAAATTGCTTCTTGATTGGAATAAAACTATAATTTGTATTCACAACAGGTATTATCCCACCAAATTAAGTCAAAAAGAAAAACCTGTCATATGCACTTTAACATCAGATTTTGTGTGCCAGAATAAAAGAAGGAAATACACACTATTTTACTTAAGTGAAACTTTAATAGTAAAATTACAAATGCATGATAGTAAGACCGAAACTGTTATAAAATGGAACAGATTACATGTGAATAAAGTTGTGTGTTGTGACCGTGTGTATTTTGTTTCTCTGATGGCTTCGACGTGTTCTGAACCAAAGTGAAGAGGAGACAACACCGGCAGGAGGGCGGCTTTAGCTGCACACAAACAGAGAAGCATTAGGCACATCTAAGCTTGGGTCTATTGTCTGAACATGTCTGACTGGCTCAGGCCACAGACACATATAGATATATACCAAAAATATATAAGGATCAAGATCAAGATTTAAACTGGACCATAAAAAGCCCCATATTACGCTTTTTTCTGATCTCTGTTATAATGTTGTTTCCTCGTCACATCCTCAAAAACCTGCCTGGAGTTGTTTTTTTTGTGTGTGTCATTCTCACATGTTTAACACACAAACTGCATATTTAGGCTGATTTCTTTTCTCAAACAGAAAGCACTCAGATAATTAAAATAATAAGGGGTTGCTCAAACTTGTGAATGAAACAAAACACAACTCCAGGTTTGTTTGGTTTTTTTTCTTAGCAGGTAACATTATAACATGTTTTGTATAATAAAAGATTTGTATAATAAAAGATAGCAGAGTGTTCCCTGTCTACATCTCCAAACCTCGAAATGCTCTGTTCCACTTTGTGGTTTTTGTCATGAAGCGGTAGTTTTCAAAATAACAGGTACCTATTACCTTTAGATCAGTAGAGATTCACAAATCCAGGGCTGAAATAACCCATATGATTCTACTCAAGGTGCATGGAGTTTAAAAACTTTATTACCACACAACATCACAAGGTGGAGCAAAGTGTCAGGAACAGGTGAGATTTTAACTCCTGTCTCCCACATCCTAACTCGCAACCTAATACATGAGCTATTCTTCCACTGATTCGCCAGCACCGAAGTTTGGTATTTACATGAATATAATGAGAAAAAACTTTAAAAAATTAAATAAATATGCAAGGGTTTGTGTGTTAAACACGTGTGAATGAAACAAAACACAACTAAACTACATTAAAACATCCATCCATTTTCTTCTGGTTTTCTGGTGTAAAACGTAAGATGACAGGGATCAGACAGTGCTCCTCACCATAACCTGTACATGAACAGTACTGCAGTACTCTTCACCGTCACCTGGGGGCAGTGCAGTACTCACATGGAGGTCATGTCATTGAGGGCGTGGTCGAGCTCCTCGCTGATGGCTTTGTACTTGAGCTTCTGCGCGTACAGTTCATCTGTGCACAAATGTGTGTCATAAGCCATGTCTGTCTCCACAGCTCCACAGCTCCACAGCTCCACAGCTCCACACCTCCACATCTTCACATCTCCACATCTCCACACCTCCACACACACCTCCACACACACCTCCACACACACCTCCACAGCTCCATAGCTCCACACCTCAAAACCTCCACAGGTCCACACCTCAAAACCTCAAAACCTCCACACCTCCACACACACATCCACATCTCCACACACACACCTCCACGCACCCACACACGCATCTCCATATCTCCACACACACATCTCCACTCACACCTCCACACACACATCCACGCACACCTCCACACACACACCTCCACACACACACCTCCACACACACATCCACGCACACCTCCACGCATACCTCCACACACACACATCCACACACACCTCAGCACCTCCACACACACCTCCACACACACACATCCACACACACCTCAGCACCTCCACACCTCCACACACACACACATCCACACACACATCCACACACACCCCCACATCTCCACACACACCTCCACACACACATCTCTACACACACCTCCAGATCTCCACACACACATCTACATCTCCACACACACCTCCACACACATCTCTACACACACATCTCCACACACACCTCCACACACACATCCACACACACATCCACACACACATACACATACACACACACCTCCACACACACACATCCAAACACACACCTCCACATCTCCACACACATCTCCACACACATACCTCCACAGACACCTCCACACACACACCTCCACACACATATCCACGCACACCTCCACGCATACCTCCACGTACACCTCAGCACCTTCACACACACCTCCACACACACACATCCACACACACCTCAGCACCTCCACACACACATCCACACACACCCCCACATCTCAACACACACCTCCACCACATCTCCACACACACATCTCTACACACACATCCACATCTCCACACACACCTCCACATACATCTCTCCACACACATCTCTACACACACATCTCCACACACACCTCCACACACACAACTCCACACACACACCTCCACATCTCCACACACATCTCCACACACATACCTCCACAGACACCTCCACACACACACCTCCACACACACCTCCACACACATATCCACGCACACCTCCACGCATACCTCCACGTACACCTCAGCACCTTCACATACACCTCCACACACACACATCCACACACACCTCAGCACCTCCACACACACATCCACACACACTCCCACATCTCAACACACACCTCCACATCTCCACACACACATCTCTACACACACATCCACATCTCCACACACACCTCCACATACATCTCTCCACACACATCTCTACACACACATCTCCACACACACCTCCACACACACAACTCCACACACACACCTCCACATCTCCACACACATCTCCACACACATACCTCCACAGACACCTCCAAACACACCTCCGCACACACCTCCACACACACACCTCCACACACACACCTCCGCACACACACCCCCACACAGACCTCCACACACACACCTCCGCACACACACACCTCCACACACACACCTCCGCACACACACCCCCACACAGACCTCCACACACACACCTCCGCACACACACACTCCACACACACACACCTCCGCACACACACCCCCACACAGACCTCCACACACACACCTCCGCACACACACACCTCCACACACACACCTCCACACACACACCTCCGCACACACACCCCCACACAGACCTCCACACACACACCTCCGCACACACACACCTCCACAAACACACACCTCCACACACACACTTCTGCATACACACCTCCACACAGACCTCCACACACACACCTCCACACAGACCTCCACACACACACACCTCCACACACACACCTCCGCACACACACCTCCGCACACAAACCTCCGCACACACACACCTCCACACACACACCTCCGCACACACACCTCCGCACACAGCTCCCCGCACACAGCTCCACCCACACAGCTCCACACACACACCTCCACATCTCCAACAGTGTTAAAGCAGACGGGACATTGGACTCACCTTCCAGGTCATCAATGGTCTTCTCCAGTTTGGCCACAGACCTCTCTGCAAACTCTGCTCGCGTTTCTGCCTGTCAGTCACAGCAAATGTACAACTATTTCACTCTAATGTTATGACAACACAGACGGGATGCTCCCGTGTGTAGAGATCCAAATTTGAAATTTCGTCTGCAGTTTACTTACATAAATGTAAGAAAAAATTTATTTTGTACATTTTCATTTAAAAATAGTGCATTTTATGTGTAAAAATGGCAAAAATGTACAATTTGTGGGACATTTAAAACTGAAACATGAAAAGAGCCAGGTTACTTAATTTTATTATCATATATGAGACATCTTGATGGCGGCATGGTGGCTGAGTGGCTAGCACTCATGCCTCACAGCAAGAAGGTTCCAGGTTTGATCCCTAGGTTGCCCGGGCCTTACTGTGTGGAGTTTGCATGTTTCTCTTTGTGTCTGGATGGGTTTCCTCTGAGTGCTCCAGTTTCCCCCATCACCCCAAAACATGCTACATAGGTCTCCAGGAAGAACCGTTGATAGCTAAGATCAATTAAATACAGTCAATAAATGAAACTGCCCAGGGACTAGAGGTGGAAATTAACCTGATACAAGCATCTCTCCGGTTTAAGTTCATGTAAAAATTGGGCGCTGTCCCTGTCTTATTAAATAAATAAAATGTTGATATCTCATTGAGCATCTCATATAAAAAATCCCTAAAACTTCACCAGACTTAGAATGAGATCCACTTCTTTGTATAGTCCATAATGTGTCCTTACCTCTTTGAGCTTGTCAGTGAGGATCTTGATCTCCTCTTCATACTTGTCCTCCTTCTGAGAGTACTGTGGACACAAGCAGAGCAGACTGTTTCACATGTGTTTAGTTCTTACCCATCAAAGAGATCAGGACAGGAGCAGGTACCTTCTCAGCCTGCGCCTCTAGAGATTTCAAGTTGTTGGTAACGTTCTTCAGTTCCTCCTCCAGCTCGGCACATTTCCTTTAGCGTTGGACATGAGACAAAAGACAAAGACATGAATGTCACTTGTCTGTAGTGGAGTGACCAAATAATGTGAGAGTGTATCTTACGCCTCGGCCAGCTCTGCCCGCTCCTCTGTGCGCTCCAGCTCACCCTCCACGATCACCAGTTTACGGGCCACCTGGGATCACCACACGAGGCTATCAAAGACTACACAGACTAATGGAAACAGGCTGGAGGTCAGCTCCTCAAGAGACACCCAAGTGTGTTAGGGTGCACACTCCAGAACTTAATGTAAATGAGAGCAGGTGAGAGGTGAGCCGGTCATGTCATCATGAGTTCAATGTTTGTTGAATGTGAACTGAGAATAATTGGCCCAAGCTAGTCAAATAAACAGAGACTATAGAGCAGTGGAACAACTTCAGGTAAATATGTTAAACCTCACTTTATTAAGTGCGAACTTAAATTATATTTCATAAAATTTTGATTTTAAATTAATTAAATTCAATAAACTTGGCTTATCTTTGTCCCCTGATACAAAGTAAACATGTTCAAATGAAATGGCTTTTACTGATAACAATTGTATTTTTAATTACAAACACATTAGACATGATGGACAAGTTGTTTATGATACAATTTGGGTTAATTTGGTGTTTTGTTCTCAGGATACCCAGCTGATGGACAAAATGGCGCTGCCAGTCACATTCAGAATGAGCCTCACACGAGTCAGTCATTTGGGTTTCAATACTGATATCCACTTGGTTTAAACCTAAAAGTCTGTGTTTGTATGTGTTTATGTGTGTGTTTGTGTGTGTGTGTGTTTGTATCTGTGTGTGTGCGCAGTGTTGGGAAGGTTACTTTTAAAATGTATTCCTCTACAGATTACAGATTACATACCCTAAAATGTAGTTTGTAATATAATCAATTAAATTACTTAAAGTGAGTAATGTAATCTGAATACTTTGAATTACTTGATATTGTCGTGCTTTTTAAAACTACATGAATGTAGCAACCACATCCTGAAAATTCTTATTTGTTCTCTTTAAATTGTCTGTTGAGCCCAAGTCTCCATGAATAAGCAACTGTTTGCTGTAGAGAAACAAAGACCAGGATCTGTTAACATAAGATGTTTTGTTTGCTAAAAGACAATAAAAAGCCCAGTCTTTCCTTCACCATATTAAAAACATTATTGATAGAGAAATTATTTTTATATGCGATCACCTTAAATTATGTCCAACCTACTGTTAGGTGTCATATTGTTTAGACCTGGTTTTAGCCCTGTTTTAGTCCTGGTTTAGACCTGGTTTAGTCCTAGTTGAGTCTTCGTTTAGTCTTAGTTTAGTCCTGGTTTATTCCTGGACTGGGTTAGTATCGGTTTTAGTCTTGGTGTTAGTTCTGGTTTACAGGCGCACAGGAGGAAGCGCGGTTTACGCAGCGTATGCGAGAAACACGCCGCGCACGGGAGGACAGCGGTTTCCGCGCAGTAGCTACGGAAGGAAACGTGGTTCGCGCATTCTCAGGCTGATGACGATGATAAAGGTGTGTGTGTTTGTTTGTGTTTGTGTGCGTGTACCCTCATGTCCATCCATCCATCCATCCATTTTCGTCCGCTTATCCGGGGCCGGGTCGCGGGGGCAGCAGCCTAAGCAGGGACTCCCAGACTTCCTTCACCCCAGACACGTCCTCCAGCTCCTCCGGGGGGACCCCGAGGCGTTCCCAGGCCAGCCGAGAGACATAGTCCCTCCAGCGTGTCCTGGGTCTTCCCCGGGGCCTCCTCCCGGTGGGACATGCCCAGAACATCTCCCGAGGGAGGCGCCCAGGAGGCATCCGGAACAGATGCCCGAGCCACCTCAACTGGCTCCTCTCGATGTGGAGGAGCAGCGGCTCTACTCCGAGCTCCTCCCGTGTGACTGAGCTCCTCACCCTATCTCTAAGGGAGCGCCCAGACACCCTACGGAGGAAACTCATTTCGAGCGCTTGTATCCGCGATCTCGTCCTTTCGGTCACTACCCAGAGCTCATGACCATAGGTCGAAGACTGACCGGTAAATCGAGAGCTTCGCCTTTCGGCTCAGCTCCCTCTTCACCACAACGGTCCGATACAGCGACCGCATCACTGCCGAAGCTGCACCGATCCGCCTGTCAATCTCCCGTTCCGTCCTTCCCTCACTCGTGAACAAGACCCCGAGATACTTGAACTCCTCCACTTGAGGCAAAGACCCCACCCACCCGGAGAGGGCAAGCCACCTTTTTCCGGTCGAGAACCATGGCCTCAGACTTAGAAGAGCTGATCCTCATCCCAGCCGCTTCACACTCGGCTGCAAACCGCCCCAGTGCACATTGCAGGTCCTGGTTCGATGAAGCCAACAGGACAACATCATCTGCAAACAGCAGAGATGAGATCCTGTGGTCCCCAAACCGGACCCCCTCCGGCCCCTGACTGCGCCTAGAAATTCTGTCCATAAATACAATGAACAGAACCGGTGACAAAGGGCAGCCCTGGCGGAGTCCAACATGCACCGGGAACAGGTCTGACTTACTGCCGGCAATGCGAACACAGCTCCTGCTCCGGTCATACAGGGACCGGACAGCCCTTAGCAATGGGCCCCAGACCCCATACTCCCAGAGCACCCCCCACAGGACACCACGAGGGACACGGTCGAATGCCTTCTCCAAGTCCACAAAGCACATGTGGACTGGTTGGGCAAACTCCCATGAACCCTCAAGCACCCGATGGGGAGTGTAGAGCTGGTCCAGTGTTCCACGGCCAGGACGAAAACCACACTGCTCTTCCTGGATCTGAGGTTCGACTATCGGCCGGATTCTCCTCTCCAGTACCCTGGCATAGACCTTACCGGGAAGGCTGAGGAGTGTGATCCCCCTATAGTTGGAACACACCCTCCGGTCCCCCTTCTTATACAGAGGGACCACCACCCCAGTTTGCCGGTCCAGAGGTACTGTCCCCGACCGCCACGCGATGTTGAAGAGGCGTGTCAGCCAAGACAGCCCCACAACATCCAGAGACTTAAGGTACTCAGGACGGATCTCATCCAATCCCGGAGCCTTGCCACTAAGGAGCTTTCCAACCACCTCAGTGACTTCAGCCAGGGTGATGGATGAGTCCGCCTCCGAGTCCCCAGCCTCGGTCTCCTCCTCGGAAGACGTGACGGTGGGATTGAGGAGATCCTCAAAGTATTCCTTCCACCGCCGGACAACGTCCCCAGTCGAGGTCAGCAGCTCTCCCCCCGCACTGTAAACAGTGTTGGTGAAGAACTGCTTTCCCCTCCTGAGGCGCCGGACGGTTTGCCAGAATCTCTTTGAGGCCGTCCAATAGTCCTTCTCCATGGCCTCCCCGAACTCCTCCCAGCTCCGAGTTTTTGCCTCCGCAATCGCACGGGCTGCAGCACGCTTGGCCCGCCGGTACCCGTCAGCTGCTTCAGGAGTCTCCCGAGCCAGCAAGGCCCGATAGGACTCCTTCTTCAGCTTGACGGCATCCCTTACTTCCGGTGTCCACCACCGGGTTCGGGGATTGCCGCCGCGACAGGCACCACAGACCTTACGCCCACAGCTCCGAGCAGCCGCATCGACAATAGAGGCCGAGAATGAAACCCACTCGGACTCCATATCTCCAGCCTCCCCCGGAATCCGGGAGAAGTCCTCCCAGAGGTGCGAGTTGAAAGTCCCTCTGACAGAGGGCTCCGCCAGACGTTCCCAACAGACCCTCACTACACGCTTGGGCCTGCCAGGTCTTTCCGGCTTCCTCCTCCGCCAGCGAACCCAACTCACAACCAGGTGGTGATCAGTTGACAGCTCAGCCCCTCTCTTCACCCGAGTGTCCAAGACACGCGGCCGGAGATCAGATGACACGACGACAAAGTCGATCATCGACCTCCGGCCTAGGGTGTCCTGGTGCCACGTGCACTTATGGACACCCTTGTGCTCGAACATGGTGTTTGTTATGGACAAACCGTGACTAGCACAGAAGTCCAATAACAAAACACCGCTCGGGTTCAGATCGGGGAGGCCGTTCCTCCCAATCACCCCTCTCCAAGTGTCACTGTCGTTGCCCACGTGTGCGTTGAAGTCCCCCAGGAGAACAACGGAGTCCCCGGTCGGTGCACTGTCTAGTACCCCTCCCAAGGACTCCAAGAAGGCCGGGTACTCAGCACTGCTGTCCGGCCCGTAGGCCGACACCACAGTGAGAGACCTGTCCCCGACCCGAAGGCGCAGGGACGCGACCCTCTCGTTCACCGGGGTGAACTCCAACACACGGCGGCTGAGCTGTGGGGCAATGAGCAGGCCCACACCAGCCCGCCGCCGCTCCCCACGGCCAACGCCAGAGAAATGGAGAGTCCAGCCCCTCTCAAGGAGTTGGGTTCCAGAGCCCAAACTGTGCGTGGAGGTGAGGCCGACTATATCTAGTCGGTAACGCTCAACCTCCCGCACAAGCTCAGGCTCCTTCCCCCCCAGCGAGGTGACATTCCATGTCCCCAGAGCTAGTCTCCATGTCCGGAGATCCGGTCGTCGAGGCCCCCGCCGTCGACTGCCGCCCAGATCTCTCTGCACCGGCCCCATATGGCTCCTCCCGCGGGTGGTGGGCCCACGTGAGGACGGCCCTACGTCGCTCCTTCGGGCTAAGCCCGGCCGGGCCCCGTGGGGGAAGGCCCGGCCACCAGGCGCTCGCTGACGAGCACCCACCCCAGGCCTGGCTCCAGGGTGAGGCCCCGGTGACGCCAATCCGGGCGACGTAACTGGCCTCTGTGTTGCACTCATCATAAGGGGCTTCTGAACCGTTCTTCGTCTGACCTGTCCCCCCGGACCTGTTTGCCTTGGGTGACCCTACCAGGGGCATGAAGCCCCCGACAACATAGCTCCCGGGATCATTCGGGCACTCAAACCCCTCCACCACGATAAGGTGACGGTTCATGTCGCAGGTCACTATAGGACAGTAGTGCAGATTTCATGAGCCTATGCAGGTTGTTTTCACCAGTGACAATAGCTCCGGTTTGATATTTAAGTTATAGGCGATTTTATATTTGTTATTTTTTTTATATCTCACGTGGGGAGAAGAATTTCCCAGACACAAATGCGTTTTTACCTGTGCGCTGCTGCCTCAATTCTACTCGCTCTTCGACCTCGTGCATTGTGAGACTGACGCCGCCAACGTGAACATGACGTTTACATCGCTCTTATTGCCACGTTCTGTTTGGGTTTCCGGCAATGAGTGGAATTACCAAAATAAAAAAATAAACAAATGGGATGTAGCACAAAATGTGAAAACAGGAAAATACCGCCTTGTAATCCACTTATTTCAGCAAAGTAACTGTAATCCAATTGCCACTCATTTGTTTGTGTGTGTGTGTATGTTTGTGTGTGTGTGTTTTCTGTGTGATGTGTGTGTATGTGTGTGTGTGTGTGTGTGCGTGTGTGTCTGTGTGCATGTGTGTCTCTGTGTGTGTATGTGTGTGTGTGTGTGTGTGTGTTTGTGTGTGATGTGTGTGTATTTTTGTGTTTGTGTGTGCCTCTCTGTGTGTGCATGTTTGTGTGTGCGTGTATGTGTGTCTGTGTGCATCTGTGTGTGTGTGTGTTTGTGTATGTGTCTGTGTTTGCATGCGTGTGTGTGTGTGAAAGAGAGACAGACCTCCTCGTACTTGCGATCGGAATCTTCTGCGATATGCTTGGCCTCCTTCAGCTGAATCTCCTGAAGCTCCATCTTCTCCTCGTCCTTCAGAGCTCTGTTCTCAATCACCTTCATCCCCCTGCAGCCCACACACACACGCACACACACACACACGCACACACACGCACACACACACACATACATACACACACACACACACACAGAGACACACATGCACACAGACACACGCACACACACACACACACACACACGCACACACACACACACGCACACACACACGCACACACACACGCACACACACACGCGCACACACACACGCACACACATACACCCGCACACACACGCACACACACACGCACGCACACACACACGCACACACACACATGCATGCACACACGCACACACACGCACACACACACGCACACACCCGCACACACACACGCACACACACACGCACACACACACACACAGAGTGGCAGAGTGGTTAGCAGTGATGTGTCCCCCACCTCCTCCTTCATCCATCACCTCTTCCTGTCTCTGCCACCCCCTCCTTCTGCCCCCTCCACCTCTCCCTGTCTCATCCCGTCCCCTCCACCTCTCCCTGTCTCATCCTGTCCCCTCCACCTCTCCCTGTCTCATCCTGTCCCCTCCACCTCTCCCTGTCTCATCCTGTCCCCTCCACCTCTCCCTGTCTCATCCTGTTTCCTCCACCTCTCCCTGTCTCATCCTGTCCCCTCCACCTCTCCCTGTCTCATCCTGTCCCCTCCACCTCTCCCTGTCTCATCCTGTTTCCTCTACCTCTCCCTGTCTCATCCTGTTTCCTCCACCTCTCCCTGTCTCATCCTGTCCCCTCCACCTCTCCCTGTCTCATCCTGTTTCCTCCACCTCTTCCTGTCTCATCCTGTTTCCTCCATCTCTTCCTGTCTCATCCTGTCCCCTCCACCTCTCCCTGTCTCATCCTGTTTCCTCCACCTCTTCCTGTCTCATCCTGTTTCCTCCATCTCTTCCTGTCTCATCCTGTCCCCTCCACCTCTCCCTGTCTCATCCTGTCCCCTTCACCTCTCCCTGTCTCATCCTGTTTCCTCCACCTCTCCCTGTCTCATCCTGTTTCCTCCACCTCTCCCTGTCTCATCCTGTTTCCTCCACCTCTCCCTGTCTCATCCTGTTTCCTCCACCTCTTCCTGTCTCATCCTGTTTCCTCCACCTCTCCCTGTCTCATCCTGTTTCCTCCACCTCTCCCTGTCTCATCCTGTTTCCTCCACCTCTCCCTGTCTCATCCTGTTTCCTCTACCTCTCCCTGTCTCATCCTGTTTCCTCCACCTCTCCCTGTCTCATCCTGTCCCCTCCACCTCTCCCTGTCTCATCCTGTCCCCTCCACCTCTTCCTGTCTCATCCTGTTTCCTCCACCTCTCCCTGTCTCATCCTGTTTCCTCCACCTCTCCCTGTCTCATCCTGTTTCCTCCACCTCTTCCTGTCTCATCCTGTTTCCTCCACCTCTCTCTGTCTCATCCTGTTTCCTCCACCTCTCCCTGTCTCATCCTGTTTCCTCCACCTCTTCCTGTCTCATCCTGTCCCCTCCACCTCTTCCTGTTTCCTCCACCTCTTCCTGTCTCATCCTGTTTCCTCCACCTCTCCCTGTCTCATCCTGTCCCCTCCACCTCTTCCTGTTTCCTCCACCTCTTCCTGTCTCATCCTGTTTCCTCCACCTCTTCCTGTCTCATCCTGTTTCCTCCACCTCTCCCTGTCTCATCCTGTTTCCTCCACCTCTTACTGTCTCATCCTGTCCCCTCCACCTCTTCCTGTCTCATCCTGTCCCCTCCACCTCTTACTGTCTCATCCTGTCCCCTCCACCTCTTCCTGTCTCATCCTGTCCCCTCCACCTCTTACTGTCTCATCCTGTCCCCTCCACCTCTTCCTGTCTCATCCTGTCCCCTTCACCTCTCCCTGTCTCATCCTGTTTCCTCCACCTCTCCCTGTCTCATCCTGTTTCCTCCACCTCTCCCTGTCTCATCCTGTTTCCTCCCCCTCTCCCTGTCTCATCCTGTTTCCTCCACCTCTTCCTGTCTCATCCTGTTTCCTCCACCTCTCCCTGTCTCATCCTGTTTCCCTCCACCTCTCCCTGTCTCATCCTGTTTCCTCCACCTCTCCCTGTCTCATCCTGTTTCCTCACCTCTCCCTGTCTCATCCTGTTTCCTCCACCTCTCCCTGTCTCATCCTGTCCCCTCCACCTCTCCCTGTCTCATCCTGTCCCTCCACCTCTTCCTGTCTCATCCTGTTTCCTCCACCTCTCCCTGTCTCATCCTGTTTCCTCCACCTCTCCCTGTCTCATCCTGTTTCCTCCACCTCTTCCTGTCTCATCCTGTTTCCTCCACCTCTCTCTGTCTCATCCTGTTTCCTCCACCTCTCCCTGTCTCATCCTGTTTCCTCCACCTCTTCCTGTCTCATCCTGTCCCCTCCACCTCTTCCTGTTTCCTCCACCTCTTCCTGTCTCATCCTGTTTCCTCCACCTCTCCCTGTCTCATCCTGTCCCCTCCACCTCTTCCTGTTTCCTCCACCTCTTCCTGTCTCATCCTGTTTCCTCCACCTCTTCCTGTCTCATCCTGTTTCCTCCACCTCTCCCTGTCTCATCCTGTTTCCTCCACCTCTTACTGTCTCATCCTGTCCCCTCCACCTCTTCCTGTCTCATCCTGTCCCCTCCACCTCTTACTGTCTCATCCTGTCCCCTCCACCTCTTCCTGTCTCATCCTGTCCCCTCCACCTCTTACTGTCTCATCCTGTCCCCTCCACCTCTTCCTGTCTCATCCTGTATCCTCCACCTCTTCCTGTCTCATCCTGTTTCCTCCACCTCTTCCTGTCTCATCCTGTTTCCTCCATCTCTTCCTGTCTCCTCCACCTGACTCCTCCTCCTGTCTCTGTAGTCTTACACTTTTTACTTATCCTTGTCCAGTAAGCGGGATTCTCGCGATATTTGTGAGTCACAAAGTCACAATAATCCATCTTGACATTCTCCCATTGGTCTGGCAGTGGGTGGACCAGTCACACAGCAGCGTTATGGTTTGTGCGAAAGCCAAAGGCCAAGCGCTCAAAGAACCAAAACATACATGGCAATGCAGACAAACGTACTTCAGCCTATTTTAGTGAAAATACAGACTGTCTGTGATAAACATGCAGAGGGATGTGCTTTGTGCGTTTATGGACAGGGAAGATGCTGTTTTTCTCTCAATTGGATGTAACAATAGTTAGATTTTTGGCTAGTTCGAGTTGTGATGCTTTGACTAATCAGATTTATATATTTGTCATGACATTTTCCTTTTCCCTGATCTCTGAGAGCTGTTCACATTGGTCATGTGTAGAACTCTGCAGAGTGACACATGTCAGTCTGGTGTGAGCCAGTTTACCTCTCACTCTCATCTGCCGCCTTCTCTGCCTCCTCCAGCTTCTGCAGTGCTGTGGCCAGTCTCTCCTGAGCCCGATCCAGCTCCTCCTCCACCAGCTGGATCCTGCGGTTCAGAGACGCCACCTCCGCCTCAGCCTGGGCACAAGCACCTCACAGTCACTCAGGCATGAAAGCACCACCCCGAAATGCACCACCCTGCGCTATGATGGCAGAGTGCTTAGCAGTCATGTGCCCTGTATAGTGAGTGGCAGAGTGGTTAGCAGTAGGGATGCTCCCATCTTGAAACTACCTATCAAATATTGGCACTGATCCAGGAAAATTTGTTGGATCAGGCATCAGTTCCATGATATCAGTTCAGGCAATATCCTCTGGATGTAATAAGACTATTTTAATAATGATGGCCCAGAAAGTCTCAATGTTTGGACTTTTATTCATTTAGCTGTTAGTAGCAGTAGTTACTTGAAGGGTAAATAACAATTTTTTTTATTTTTTTTGGGAAAAATTCACATATTTAGTCCATATCTATACAGGTATCTAAAAAACTAAAAAACCTGGACCAGTGCATCCCTAATATACAGTCACGTTCTCTGGTTAGCAGTAGTTGTGCCCTTTGGAGTGAGTGACAGAGTGGTTAGCTGTCCTAAAAGGCACTGTGCTATTGTTGTGCAGATTACAGCCGTGGTGCCTGGCTGACATCATGGCCAAAATGGGGCTCCCAATCCCTGACAGCTGGGGGATTGGAGTTGGGCATGACAACAATGGAATGCAGCAGGCTTCGCTTACACAGACCACAGACTGCAGCACTTTCAGTGAGGGTTGAATATGGTGAAGAAATAATCAAAGTTCTGTGACCACATGGAAATAAGTACTCACATCAGCCGCCTTCTTGTCAGCCACCTCCAGTTTCTCCTGAGCATCCTTTAGAGCCTCCGAGTACTTGTCCAGCTCGTCCTCAGTGGACTTGAGCTTCTTCTGCATCTGGAGCAGCTCATCCTCATGCTGCAATTGGTACAGACAGGGTTATGTCTCACATGGTGGTTAGATATGGTTCACACACACAGAACGTACAACTTACCTGTTTGCTTCTCTCCTCTGCTGCCTTTTTGTCTGACTCGGCCTGTTCTGCTTGGTCCAAGGCATTCTCCTTGTCCAGCTTGAGCATGAGCATCTTCTTCTTGATGGCCTCCATGGTGAGCGCGGGGCTGGGGTCTCAGGCAGAGGATGAGTGCTTGTGGTCTCAGAGGATGGTTGTGAACAGTGACAGTTTGAAGTGCTTCAACAGTGATCTTTATGCCCCCACTCTGGCCCCTCCCACCCCCCACGCCGCACTCATCTCTGGAGACGCTCTGTGTCAAAGACTAATTATTGTTCTTCTATTTTGGGCAAAGTAGGGACCATGTTATTGTAGTGTATTAAGTGACAGCTGTTACTGTCAAAAATGTTCATCTGCTCTGATCCCAGAAAGTGAAACTATAAATATTATTTACAAAATTGATATATTAACACAATTATTCGGGCCACACTTTAAAGGAGTTGTGTGTATCCTGTGATCACAACTGAACCTGGACCTTAACTTGCAGATATAGGACACACACAAGTTTTTGTCATTGTCAGTATACTATGAACAGGCCATGTCTCATACCATGAGAATTCACTCACTGAGCTGCAGAGGCTGCACTAGCACTTGTCTCCATGGAATTTAATATATAAGTAAATAAATAAATACATGTTTCCTACATGTGGTGACAGATGTCAGGCTGGAGGGAGATTGAGGTCTTCTCACTAAAGTTGTATTTTATTTGCTGTTCATGTGAGTTTTTGATGTTTACAAATCAGGGCAATAATAAATGTGAACTACAAGCTAAAACTATTCTCTTGATAAATTTGCCACAGCTTTATTGGTTAGGACATGAGCAAAGTTTCCTCATCTGCACTCCTTTGGCCTCATTTCATGAATGGGCAGGCACCAAGCCTCCAAACTCTTCGGGAACAGACTATAACACGAGCAGCACACAGACCCATGCTGTTACCCATGTCTAGCCCTTCTCCAGGCTCCAGCTCTACACCACAGGGGCCACAACCACCTGGAAGTTCACTCTGACATTGGCCCTCAAGTCCAGCTCACATCCATTGGGTAGATACTGCATAGACTGTGCAATGAGTGGAGTGTGCAATATTTTATTGTCTGACCCCCTGTGACCCCAGATCTTTGGGACAACAGATGGAAATGTGCCTTACGCGACAATCCGGTGTATTTACATTCATGTTGTGCCATGTTTGTTCATTAACATGCTCTGTCCCAATCAAATGAATAAATAAAGAAGTGACTTAGTTGGAACTACATCAGGTGAGCTGATTTGTGCTGTCCCTCTCAAATAACCTTACAGTCACAAGCTATAACCAACAGTTTTCCAGTTTGTCACCTTTCTGCTAAAAATCTAACTCCAAACCAGATTGATCACAGGATCCTGAAACTATGTTGTTTAAATCCATTTTGTATATTTTTCTTGAGTTTTCAGACAGTCTAAAAACGTGTTGTCTCTTTTTGACTCTGCTTGCTAATGTGTAAATTGTGTCACCATATTAACTGATGAACATCCCTCCATACACACACATGTAGAATACACCCAGATGCCACTGCAAAGTCTCAAAAAGACCATAAGACAGGCAAGGGGTTTGCTGATGATTATAAACTGTATTCAGTCTGTGGATCTGGCTGGTGGAGCTGGTGAGAGCTTGATCGCCCACTCCTTCAGCAGGAGTCACAGATTATTGTCCACAAAATTCCATCCAAAATGCAAGAACAATTTAGGCACATTCTCTGGTCAGTTTAAACATTCATTTAATACAATAAATGTGTAATTTATTTTTGTTTGTCAGACTATTGTGTAAATTGAGTGAGCTAAAGTTTTGGAAAAAACTCAACTCAACTTCAACAAAATGGCCGAACTATTGAAAGATTTGTGCAGTATGATGGCTCTGGAGAAAATGGACTTTCTCAGTCTATGGAGCAGTGTTGGAACAGCACTCTACTCCTGAACATGCCCCTCTGGGTGAAGGCCTCATGTAGAGGTGTGACACATGATGATTACTCTGCTCTGCCACAACTTCACTGGAGCTAGTTTCATCTCTGTGGTGGGGCTGAAGATCCTCTCTCTCTCTGAACTGGTGCAATAGCACTTTGAACCTGATCAGCTGTTTTTTTCATGTATCCATTTTAATGATTTTCGTGATTTTGTGAGACAAATTAAACAACAGATTTGTACCAAATCCAATCAAAAACTGTTTTGCTTTGGTGATTCCTGTAGCTCCATTGTCTGTGTGGAGTGAGAGTGTCCGTGCTCGGGTGGTGGCTGAGGGTGAAATGCTATCCTCTCCCTGGCCTCCTCATGGGCCTATTATGGGCTGCTCCGGGGATTGAGTGGAAGAATGCGTTACAGGAGCGGTGACTCTGCGGCTTAGGCTTGTGGGGTATAAATAAAGCACATTTGGCTGACATTGTCCTGGGGATTATCATAAAAAAGAGGAGGGGAATACAGTGAGTGAAGGAGGGAGCAAGAGATGGAAGGATGTTGAAAGGAAAAGAGAGAGAGAGAGAGAGAGAGATGGAGAGAGAGAGATGGAGAGATAGAGAGGGAGAGAGAAGGAGAGAAAGAGGGGGGAGGGAGGAGCATCTGCCACCACTGACATCACATGGAGTAGACCTCCCCTGATGAACTACCAAACTGAAATCTATGTGCATTTTATAGCTCTGTTATGGAATACCTAGTTTCAGAGTACACACATTGCACAGTGTTACATATACAAGTATATAACTTTAGGCAAAAAATAGACAGAAATAAAAACTTTTTTTTTCATTTTGTTTATATTATTGCACACAAAAGAAAAAAAACAACAACATCCTTACTGAGAGTAGGCTTGCATCTCCACAAATCTGACTCTTATTTGACCTGGAAGAGGAGCTCCTCCTGCTTGTTTCCATGGAAAAGTTGTTTATTTAGCTATGACTTATCAGTCTTCATAGTGAAGGATTTTAACTTTCTATTTCCATGATTTTATTTAATAAATCTGGTGAGATTAATATCAATGACATTAATTGAAGATTTATTTATTAATTTTTTTTTATTACATTTTCACTTTGCTTTCCATGTTAAACACTGTCATGAGTCCTTCTCTCCATTACAGCTTTTATGATAAAGCACCAATCCCATTCACTTCCTCCCTCCACCCCCCAGCCCTCAATCACATCTACAGAGAGGAGAGTCAATGGGAACAAAAATGATGAAAGGAAAGATAACTGGGCGGGGCCAGTACTTGTGTTTAAAGGTGCATTGTGTACATTTTCTGGGGGAGGGTTTGCCAAATGCATTTCTCCATCTAGATGTTGTTATTGCTTTGTCTGGAATGTTTCACAGTTAGGGTAGTTCATGGAGACTAAACCAGAGCAAGTTACAGGTCAGATCTGTAGAGAGGCGACCCTGCTCACAGTCAGAATGCCTGTTTTTCTAGGTATTTTTGAGCTATAAAACCACCTGTAATTTAATAAATAATAATAATGCATCATTTTCATATAGCACTTTTCTGGACACTCAAAGACATGTAAATGTAAGGTAGAGCTGTTTAAAGTCACACTGTGGAACATTCCAGGCAGAGCAATGACATATTCATAGAAACAAGCAGGTGATGGACAAGAAAGGCCCATACAGGAGACAAACAGGAGCACCTCTGTTAGCCACAGGGAGGCACAGGACACTGGAACACACCATTCATCTAAGGTGATCTTTATTCCACGTTTATGCAGCATGCTTACACCACAAAGTCTGGATTATTTATTATTGCCACTTGTATAAGATTTATCACATCAATCTTAAATAATAGGCCTTTAAATAAAAAAACACATTCACACATGTCATAATGGCTCAGGTTTATATTGCACTTCCTAGGTTCTCAAAGCACTTGACGTGAGTCCATATTTCACTCTCCCTCAGTTTCACTCGGTCTTTAGCTACCTCTGAACCACAGCCACCAGGGAAGACTGGCCACATTAACCCACAGGCATGGAGACTGCAGTGCCTTGCCCAGAGATACACCAACAGTAAGCAATGCAGGCAGCAGGAGTCAAACTGAAAACCTTCAGTTACATTCTCAGTATACAGAAATAATGAATAAAGCAGTGAAAGAATACTTCTATTCTATCACTAAATGAGTGGTTAAACACTTGTGCAGTGACAGCTGTTGAACCTGATTGTCATCGCCAGGCCCATAAAGAACCCATCCCTGTACCACTAACCCCCACAGTTCAGCAGGAAACACACAAATATGTGTGTGACTTGTTCTTTTACTTTGGCATTTAGACCCTGACAGGCCAGGCTTTGTCTGATGTGATGAAGGGAGAGTATGATGGAAAAGGAGGATGCAGAGAGGAGACTGAGCGATGTGCTGCTGGAGAGCAGTGCAGATGGCTCAAACAGCAGAATGACAGAAGGTACAGACTGGTCCCACTGGTCGGACAGACAATGACTAGTGATGGCTGATAACCCTGATTTGTGATTTGTTCTGATGCCAAGTAACACTTGGGCAAGTACTGTGATATTGATTCAATACTGATTCCAAAGAGTTTTGTATAAACATGCATTGAATTGTCCATTGAGCACTGAGCATATGAGCAACTGAATACTAAGCTGAAATATAAATGATGTATTTTAAAACTGATTACAGTTTGATCATCAGCTAATACTTTAGCATTAGAATCAGTATTGTTCAAAATCATTTCAGTACCAAAACATCAGTAGTTTGGTATGGGGCCTCCTGACACACAGGTGAGTCTGGACATAGAGCTTCATCACAGAGGATCAGGGTGATGGTAGTAGGCATACACTGTAGAGTCTATGGGGGAGGACCTGGTAGTGTGATGATCCTGAGAGAACATCCAGTGGGGTGTGCAGGAGGTCAGACCTGTGAGGCTGCCTGCACATCTGGAACAACAGAACAACAGAAGCTTAGAGACTGCTCAGCTCTCACTCACTCCATCCAAATTTGTCTTTGTCTGAAATTATATTTTCAGACATACTAAGAGCTCTGTTAAGTTTCACTTTAAAGCAGACCTGTTATGCAAAATGGACTTTAACCATGGTTTAACCGTGGTATCGTTTTCCCCATTTACCCTTTGAAGGTTTATTTGGAGTGATTCGAGCATGTTTGAGCAATCTTAAATCCCTTATTTTCAAAACACCATATTGCAGATCAATCCCAGTGAAACCTTCATTGCTCTGTACTTATTGCATTCTCCAATTTAACTTTCATAATGGTGAGAAAAGTAGGATTCAGCAGCATCATGCAGTTATTTTGGTACAAATGAAAATAAAGTCCCCTGATCACTAATGTAATCTGCAGCGATCCACTGGAGGTGACGACAGGTCCACAGCTCTTTGTTATGATGACGTTTACCTTGTTCTTCTCTCACCTTTGAACCTGTCCACTGGCCTCTCATCCTCCTCCTCATCTGTGACTACCTCTTCATCACTGGCGTACTGCAGCTCCTGACTCTGCCAGCGCACCGTGCACACCTTCTGCAAAAGATTACACACGAGACTCAGGAGTATACACCCTCCATAGCTCTAATGTAGTCACGATAATAACATTTAAAATGCAGTTTTGGTACTACAAATTAGACTCAATATTCAATAACATGATGCTAATTACATTTCTGGGTGCTGCTGCCCCCTGTGTGCCCGCTGACACACTGATGAGGTGGCGCATGTGTTGTTCCAGGCGTGCCCGCTCCCTCTCGCTCTGTTTGAACCTGCGCTCGGCGTCTCGCAGCCTCAGCAACTCGTCCTGGAGCAGACTGTGCTGCCTCTGGAGCAGGGCCAGCTCTCCTATGGCCCCCACCTCAGCCCCTGACGATGGACTGTCCCCGTCCCTCCTCAGGCGCCACTCCTCCTCCGGCTGTAACAGCAGCTCCAGGATGGAGTCCTGTTTGATCACAGCCCCCTGCGCACACATGTGAAGGATCACAGGCTTCAGAGTTCGATTCAGTCAGAAGAAAAGCACATTAAGTCAGAGCTGCCTCAGAGTCCAGCCTCTACAGTCTGTGATCATTAGTTGCTGTCCTTCCTTACTTGAGCCTCTTGGCTCTGCTCTCTTGTTTGTGTTTGATTTCTCTCTATTGTCTTTACAAAGTCTTTTTGTATTCTCACTACATTTTAATGGATCTATTTTATAATAATAATATAATTGTGCTGTTTTGTAACTCCTATTCTTACCATCTGTCCAGGGACTACAGATGAAAAAAGCCTCTCTGGCTAATTTTGGTACATTTACAGAAATGTTGAATAATGTTCACAGTCCCTGTTAACTGAACCAAATAAATGAATATATAAAGCAAATTACCAGGAATGCTTTTTATGTTATAACATGGATAGCTTCTGAAGTCTTCTGAAGTCTTCACTCTTTCCTCAAACAAGGTTATCATTGTCACAACTAGTGAAACTGATATAACCCCAAATGACTGAACTTTGGATGGTATAAAGCTAACGTTAGAGCAGCTGTCTGGGCCTGGCAACTGCGTGTCCCTCTTCATGTAGTGGTGAAAGAAACTTACTTTGCAAGATGGCGCCTGTGGTCGGCTGTGCTTCTGCTGCCTCTACTTTTTGTCGTATATTTGTGATTTTCCTTGTGCTATATTTTGCATGGTCAGCCCTGTCAACAAATGTCGTGGCTGCTATTCAATATGACAAACACATGTTACTCCGCATCAAGGTGCGCATGGAAAACTTTTCTGTTTCTTGGCCAGGTAGACAGTTATTCCTTCAAACTCTAGAATGCTCCACGTCATCATAGCGGTGGTCTCGCGCTCGTTTACCGGGATGACTTCTGGACACGACAAATGAAACCGGTCGCGTTCAACTCCTTTGAGCTGCAGATGACTAAAGCTGGGAACATTGTTTCATTTTATTGTTTCTTAATCTATCGACCGCCTGGTCCAGCACGTGCATTCCTGGATGATTTCTCAGACTTTTTATCTTCAGTTATTAAGCTTGAGAGAGATTTGATACTTGGTGATTTTAACCTCCACGTAGATGATCCTTCATGTAATTCAGCCGGTGAGCTGGAAACACTGACAGATTCATTTGGTCTAAAACAGCATGTGTCTGGTCCAACACATGGTCATACTCTGGATTAGGGATGGGCATTCGATGAAATTTTCTTAATCGAATCAGAAGAATTCACGATCGATTATCGATTAATCATTAACGTTTTTATATTAAAATGATCATCATTATTATTACTATCTGCACTACTAATCTGCATAAATAAATTCAACTTTACGACATATAAACCGTAACGACTCTAGAGCCACAATAATCTGTTTGACATTATAATGTGTTTAATTCAGTTTTGTGCAACTCTCACAGAAACGAAACTTAAAACCGCATTGCTAATTTGCATAAACTAAGCGAAGATAAAACTGCAGCTCTTGTGTCGCTGATGTGGTCAATTTCTGTTGGATTAAAAGACATGATTCAGTGGAATACAGGTTAGTGTGACCATATTTGCGTTTGTCAAAACCAGGACACCGTACGGTGGTGGGAGGTGGGGACTCGTCATCGATATTGGGCGACTCTCACCTGGCAAAGCTTTTTCCCACTGGACACCGAAACATATGTGCTGCTTTGTGCACTGTGCACATGGACTCACACTTGTCCCGAACGCAAAGGAAATTTCTTGTACAAGTCATCGTTGCCCTTCAGTACGTTGCAGGCTGCTCGCTCCTTCTGAGTGCAAAGAGCTACATGTACTGACCCCTGTTTGGTCACGCTACGCACAGCACCCTACATTCGGTTTGTCGATTAAAATGAACGTAATCGATGAAATTCTTAATGATCAATTATCGACTAATCATGCCCATCCCTACTCTGGATCTTGAATTTTCCATCTTATCATTGACCAGTTGAAAATTAAGGACATCCAGGTATCAGACCATAGTTGCATTCTGTTTAGTTTTATCTTATAACTTAGAATGTCTCAGTTCAAAGAAAGTGACAAAAAGGCATTTTATTTCCCAAGATACTGTGGAAAGATCAGACAGATCAGCTTATGTTTCCAACCTTGTGTCAGCGAACAAGAAAAATCCAAAAATCCAGTCCTGTTTAATACCATTGAGAAAATTGTTTCACCTTCAACACCACAAATCCCTGTTTATACAAAGAAAGAACTCTAAGAATTTATCACAATCAAAGGTGGACACTATCAGAGCATAACATTTGTGACTGGGGACTTTACCTTCCATGGTGGTCATTGGTCTTCCTTTTACCCTGTTAGCCTTGAGGATGTCATTGGTATAATGAAGAGTGTGAAACCATCCTCATGCCCGCTAGATGAGGTGCCACATTCACTTTTTGTAAAAGCATTTGATCTTTTTGGTCCACATGTCTCTTGAAACAGGCTCGGTTCCAGCTCCTTCAAACAAGCTGTGTTTAGTCCAATTTTAAAGAAGCCAGATTTGGATCAGTCTGTGCCCAAAAATTATAGGCCAATATCAAAATTGCTTCTTTTATCTAAAATAATTGAAAAAGTGGTTTCCAAACGGTTAACTGACTTTTTGCACGGCAATAACTTATTTGACAATTTCCAGTCAGGCTTCCGCATTAGGCATTCCACAGTCACTGCACTTCTGAAAGTCTCTAATGATATTCTGATGGTGGTGGACTCTGGCCACTATACAGTATTGGTTTTATTAGACCTCACATCAGCTTTTGATACTGTAGAGCACAAAATGTTATTGCATCATTTACACAAAGTTTTTGGAATTAGTGGGACAGTCCTAGATTGTTTTTTGTCTTATCTGAGTGATAAACCCTTTTGGGTTTCCATCATAATGTCATGTCTGAAGTGTAACCCTTGACCTGTGGGGTCCCGCAAGGGTCAATTCTGGGGCCACTTCTTTTCTTAATGTACATTTTTCCAGTTGGTCAAATTGTGAAATGTTTCAAGAATGTTTCTTATCATTTGTACACTGATGACATACAGTTGTATTGTTCTTTTTAAAGAAACAGAAATGGACCCTCCTCTTTTGTATCAAAAATTGGCTTTCTGAAAACTTCTTGCAACGTAATGATGAAAAAACAGAAACTCTTATTCTGGTACCAGATGAAGAAAATCCTCAAATTAAAGATCATCTCGGCTCACTGAGCCCCTCAGCCCAATCCAGTGTTAGAAATCTGTGAGTGCTGTTGGACAAATCTATGTCTTTGGAGCAGCACTGCAGCCAAGAGGTTAAAAGCTGTTTTCATCAGCTTCGGAACATAACTAAACTCAGACCAATTTTATCAAATGCTGATCTTGAAATGATTGTTGACTCTTTTATTTCATCTCATTTAGATTATTTTAATTCTCTTTTTACTTGTTTTAATGCTTCTACATTTAAGCAGCTGCAACTTGTACAAAACACGGCTGCAAGGTTTTTAACAGGAGCAAACAGACGAAGACACATTACACCAGTTTTATCTTCACTGCACTGGCTTCCTGTTAAGTTCTGTGTTGATTTTAAAATATTGGTTTTAACTTCCAGAGCTTTAAATGGACAAACCCCAGTACATCAGGGACTTACTGCTCCTACTTCTCAGATCGCACCCTCCAGTCCTCTGGTCAGGGCCTCCTGATGGTCCCAAAGACCCAATTTAAAACTCGAGGTGACGTTTGCTTTCAGGCTGTGGCTCCCAAATTATTGAATGCCCTGCCCTGGCTCTATGTGAGGCCAACTCTATAGACTCTTAAAAAGCAGCTCAAGACACTGCTCTTTAGACAGGCTTTTAGTCGACTGTGTCTGTAATTCCTCTATTCTTGTTTATGTTGTTTTTATGTTGTTTTTTGCTCTGTAAAGCACTTTGTGATTTATTTTTTTATCTGTGAAAGGTGCTATATAAATAAAGATTTACTTATTTACTTACCTGCAGTGCGTGGAGGCCTGTGCTAAGGCTCAGCAGTCTCTGGCAGATCTCCTGTTAACACATGGACAACATGGTAAAGCTATTGGTTTCACTCACAGGTATCTCACTCAGAACAGGATCATACAGTGTTTTCCCCATAAAGAATAGAATTTTCTTAAAAGTTACATACTGCAAGACATTTCGTCCACCTTGCCACACATTTTAACTCCATTTGGAACATCCCAAGGTGAACCAGCTCATGAATGCCACCAGGAACACGTCTGGACACACCTCAGTAGGAGTTGTCACCTTTTCACTTTGAAATGTGTGTCCTCTGGTCATATCAGAGTTTATAAACATGGTGCTTTGAATAATTTGCGGTCTGATGTTTGGATCACATACTGCTGGTTGTTCTGATCGACCTATTTCTTGCAAAAAATAAATTCTTTGTCGTTGCTTCAACAATCATAAGTGTCTACAGAAAGAGTCTTTTTCATCAACAGCTACAATTTGGAATGTTAACAGCATTTGCATCATGTATATTCATAACATGAACTCTCCCTACCAAATACATTATAATCAGATATCAGCCTCATTACGCAGCTCACCTTGTGCACATGTGCCCCGTTCAGAGACACTTCCCCATGACCTAAGGAACAGGAACACAAAGGATCAGTATCACTGGATATGGTGTAGACATTTTTAGTATAGCTAAAAGGTATGTCACTTTCTGGATGTGACACGTCACGAGCATGATTCCATGGATATACAATGTTAAAACCATATTTGGGACATTGTCCATGGAGACAGATCATTTTTATACCATACTACTGGCAGGGTGCAAGGCCGCTCACAGTGAGGACACATGTTTTTCAGTATAATAAATACATGAAAAACTAAATGAGAAAATGCTAAAAAAGCTGCATATTGTGGCTTAAAAAAATATTTGTTGATATATAAACCTGCTTTAATTTTATTTCCCTTTTGAATGTATTCAGTTGCAGGTGGTTGAAAAACCAAAAATGAAAAAAAAACAAAACAAAAAACTTTGGCCAAGTGGACAAATGATGCTATATAGAGAAAACGAATAGCATTTCCATGAAGACAAGCAGGTGACGAGCCATACAAAATATAATTATGTTATTATAATAGATAATGTTAATGAAATAATGGCCAACAATGGCTTTTATATTATTTGTATCTATTTGATGAGTGGAGTGCCCAGAGACACACATGTAGGAGCATACAAGTATCTGGTAAAAGTTTCAAGCGAAACATGACTATAAAAGTGACTTTTTAAACTGTATCACACAGCGACAGGTGTCCAAAACACATGTGTGTGTTTAAACTATATCAGGCTGATTCTTTAGATGTTCTTGGACACAAATCTATAATAATCTTGACAGTTAGCCTAGTCCTGACCAAGTTTGTGCCCAGTTGCTTGTGACTATGGCAACTCAACTATGGCCTAACTCCGGTTAGGCACTTTGATGGAATGGAACTGATGATTTGACAAATGAGGATTGCCAAAATAAAACTTTGACTATAGCTCGCTTGATGGAAAAAATCCCACATGTATACTGTATAATGCTTTGTAAATTCTAAGCTGGTGACAACATAACGTTTAGGTCATAGTGTCAATAGCCTAAACTGCGAGTGACTCTTGAGGTTTCAGTGATGGACATAGAGCCAGGGTACTCACACATGGGGCCCTGTTCTGATGTAGAACTGCCAGACGAGCCCAGGAGCAGCTCACTCAGAGTGTCCACTGTGGGAAAAATCAGCAACACTTGCAATCAACACTTGTGGATCAATAAAGTTTGTCTAAATCTAAATCTAACGCTTTGTACCAGGTACATTAACATCAATGTATAAGGCATAAATAAGCATGTCCACATCCAAGTAAAAGACATATTTGCAGTAAGATAGACTCATCTCTCAGATGTCTGACCCACACATTTCACAGCTTGGACTATGGTTGTGTGTAGACACAGAGCGACATTAGGGTTTCTGAACATAGTACCCCCGTGTCAGGTTTCTCCCTCTCCCTCTGGTGGCATGAAACTGGAACTACTCTTCCTCAGTGTACATGTATTTATCCCTTTAATAGATCTACCCTCTTTTTAGAAGTCTGACACAGTGAGTCAGACTGACTGTGAGACAGTAGCTCACCAGAGAAACACTGCAGTATTCTAATTATATACACAGACATTATACTGAAACTTTTTTTTAACCAATGGCAAAAGAGTCTTTTGTGTGCTGTTTAGCTCCTGCTTGTTGTATCTTCTTTGGTTATGTACCTTCTTTGGTTGTGTACTCTCTTTGGTTGTGTACCTTCTTTGGTTGTGTACCTTCTGTGGTTGTGTACCTTCTTTGGTTGTGTACCTTCTTTGGTTGTGTACCCCCTTTGGTCATGTACCTTCTTTGGTTGTGTACCTTCTTTGGTTGTGTACCCCCTTTGGTCATGTACCTTCTTTGGTTGCCTCCAGCAGCAGTCGCTCAGCCCGCGGTGCCTGCAGTGTGTCTGCCCGGAATAGAGAGCGTGTGTTGGCAGGGTGCAGACTCTGACCACTACTCAGCTCTGATAGCTCAGAGAACAGCGCCACCCTCTGGTGGAGCAGATCCAGCACTTCACTGTCCTTGTGCTGCAGATCAGCTGTGGACCAAGAGTTTGGACATGAAGATGTGAGTGAAGCTGAGTTCCTCCTAAGACAGGTTCACTGACCTTTGAGTCTCCTGATGCGGGCCTTATGTTCTGACTCTATCAGCGGAAACTCCTCTCTGGATGGACACCTGAGTCAAACACAAAAAGACAGTGCATCTGACAGCCCATAAACTGGAGCACAGAGACAGGAGCACAGAGACAGACGGGAGCACAGAGACAGAGAGGAGCACAGAGACAGACGGGAGCACAGAGACAGACAGGAGCACAGAGACAGGAGCACAGAGACAGACTGAAGCACAGAGACAGGAGAACAGAGACAGGAGCACAGAGACAGACAGGATCAGACAGAAGCACAGAGACAGACAGGATCAGACAGGAGCACAGAGACAGACAGGATCAGACAGGAGCACAGAGACAGACAGGATCAGACAGGAGCACAGAGACAGACAGGATCAGACAGGAGCACAGAGACAGACAGGATCAGACCGGAGCACAGAGACAGACAGGATCAGACAGGAGCACAGAGACAGACAGGATCAGACAGGAGCATACTTGCGCGCTGCCTGCTGGATGTGTTGACTCCACAGAGTTCGTTCCTCTTTAGAAGCAGCGTGCAGCTCGTACATCTCAGGAGGAGAGGCGTCGCTGATGCAGAACAGCCCCCTCTCCTGGTTGGCGATGGGTCTCACGATGAGGTTCTGCAGGGACAGAACCGGGGGCTTGTCCTGGGTGAGACACAAAGACAGGTTCTATTATTTCGACCACAGACACAGTGAGTGAGAAATACTGCAAACACTGTACAAACAATGTAGTTATATGTTTTCTAATTTTCATTTTCGGATTTGATGGTTCCTCCTTGCACTAAGTCACTCCCCCCTTCAGAGCACTATGACAACACAATCTGAGTACATCCCACTAATGAAACTACTGTAAGTTGCTGTGTTTGTTGTATCGTGTTTTTTTTATATATGCATAAATTTATGGAGAACTGTCGTGTGGGAGTATGATTGACGATTGTGGGCGGGGCCTTGTACAGAATCTTACAGCTAACTGTAAGGATGGTTTGAATAGCATCCAGGAGAGATCTCTAAAATGCTCAAATATGCATAGATGACATATACAACCTCTTATTTTTGATGAAGAAACAACTTGGTAGAAAGCTAAAAACATAGTATCTCCCCTTTAAATACCTACAAGTACCACGGTATACCTATCAAATATCTACAAATACAAAACATCAGGTCAGTCATAAACTATAGGACCAATCAAGTAATAATAATATACTTCTACCTTTAGTATCATTAGCATACATCTTTGTAAAGCATTTCTTCAGGTCATACTTGGGAAAGTACCAAGTACAAACAAGGATGAACTATTTAAGTATAATTCATTAACTCATAAATTGCTAGATTTGTGTATGTATTCATACATTGTTCATTACCAGGGGTGGGACGAAACAGAATTTACACTAGACGAGATGCCAGATAGGGTTTACGAGATCGAGACAAGACGAGATTTTGAAATAATTTGCAATAATCAGACTTAGGTATAAAAATGACCAAATTAAGTCATCTGCTTTTAATAACCCAAATTCATTCAACAGAAATCCCTTCATGCATCACTACAAATTATTACAATTAGGGGTGTCAAATTATCGCGTTAATTGCGATTAATTAATTACAGTCATATTTAGCGCGTTATGTTTTTTAATCGCGTTAATCTCATTTTTAATCTCTAACTTTACTGTTTCTGTATGTGAGTTTCTTTATTATAAAACCTGTTTGTATGTGTTGTTGGGACAACAACACACACACACACAAAAAACACTTATACATTTTTTTATTTCGGTAATTCCACTCATTGCCGGAAAGCCACACAAAACGCGCGCAGTAACAGCGATGTAAACGTCATGTTCACATTGGCGGCGTCAGTCACACAATGGACGAGGTCGAAGAGCCAGTAGAACAGAGGCAGCAGTGCACAGGTAAAAACACATTCGTGTCTTGGAAATTATTCTCCCGACGTGAAATATAAAAGAAAATAACAAATATAATATCGCCTGAAAACAACCTGCATAGACTCATGATGTCTGCACTACTGTCCTATAGTGACCTGCCACATGAGGGGACACACACACAAACACACACAAACACAAACACACACAAACAAACACACACCTTCATCATCGTCATTAACCTGAGAACGCGCGGACCACGTTTCCTTCCGTAGACACTGCGCGGACATCGCTGTCCTCCCGTGAGCCTCGTGTGGATCGTGTTTTCTCGCGTACGCGGCGTAAACCGCGTTTCCTCCTGTGTGCCTCTAAACCAGAACTAACACCAAGACTAAAACCAGGACTAAACCAGGTCTAAACCAGGACTAAACCAGAACTAAAACCAGAACTAAAACCAGGTCTAAACCAGGACTAAACCAGGACTAAACCAGGACTAAACCAGGTCTAAACCAGGTCTAAACCAGGTCTAAACCAGGTCTAAACCAGGACTAAACCAGGACTAACACCAGGACTAACACCAGGACTAAACCAGGTCTAAACCAGGACTAAACCAGAACTAACACCAGGACTAAAACCAGGATTAATCCATTCCAGGACTAAACTAGGACTAAAGTAGGTCTAAACCAGTTCTAAACCAGGACTAAAACCAGTGATCTCATATATATTTCTCTATCAATAATATTTTTAATATGGTTAAGGAAAGACTGGACTTTTTATTGTCTTTAAGTAGACAAAAGTTATTATGTTCAGATTTCCTCGTCTTTGCTACTTTACAACAAACAGTTTCTTATTCATGGAGACTTGGGCTCAACAGCCAAATTGGAGAGATTTGTTAAACAATAAATGACTTTATAAAGTCACTTTTTTTAATTTATATCAGTCTTTTGATCTGCCACAATAATGTAATAATGAATTTAAATGAAAATACCTCAAATTGAAGGCTTTTCTCAGCAATTTTTAGGTGAGATTAAAATGAGATTAATTAGATTAATTAATTACAGATCATAATTAATTAATCTCTAAATTTTTTTTTATCGCATGACAGCACTAATTACAATACTGAATATACATGTCTATTACACGTCATTTTTATTATTTAAATAATTCGACTAAAACTGGACCTGCTCCTTTGTTTTGTGTCGTTCCAGCTTCTTTCCCCTCCCTCACTGCTGCTGCACTATACGCTCACGATGCTGAGGGACACAGACAGAGGAGGAAGACTCCTTCTCTCTTTTTTCTCACTATAAACTAAAAACTTATAAAACTATAAATTAAAGTTATGGATGAACAAGATCTAAATATCTCTTTGTGGTTCTTTTACAAAAAATGTTTAGCAGCAGGATGTACAAGTGAGAAACACAAAGCCAGTGACACATACAGTACGTCCTGCTAGAGCTGCTAGTGTGACCTCAAATGGAAACCTAACAAAAACTATATCAATTGTTCATGTTGTTTTGTCTGCAAAAAGTTTTGTTTGTGCTGCTTTAGTTTTGGTGATATTAACAATTATTTATAGGTCAAATTGGAAGCTTCAAAATGCTCTAAAATGGCCCAAAATGGCTAAAGATATTCCAGAGGGAATGTCCTGTCTCATCACTGAGCAAAACAACAGAGCAAAGAGAGAGAGACACGGAGAAGATTTTTTCCTGTTATGTCTCCAAAATTCATCTGGCTCCCCCTGGAGGCTGCTGTGATACTGCAGGACACACTTTTGTCCTGAGGGATATCACTCCCTTCAAAATGCCTTGATACTGGATCTGATGACCCGACCTGTTGCACTGCACTGAGACTTTTCTTTGAGCTTTTCTGTTATTACTGTATTTTACTGCTCAGTGTGCTTAAACTGATCATTTGGAATATTCCAGGTTGAGCAATGACATTTCCGGGGAGACAAGCAGATTGTGGACCTCCCACCAAAAAGTGACATCTTGTTCATTTATGTGTTACTATGCACAACTGCTCTAGACCACTGTGTGAGAGACATCCCCATTAAAAGAACTGTAAAGTCCTGTACAGAATTTCACATTTAGGGAGAACCTGCCTCCTGGTCAAATAAACAGTAAATATGTATGTCAGTACCAGACTGGTGAAGATGTACTTCTGGTCCTTCTCCTGTAGAAACACCAGGATGTCGGTCATGAGGAGCACCTGCACCTCTGGAGAACACAGCAGCAGTGAGCAGGACAGAAGAGCGGGTTGGATAGGTGGTCTACAGACAGTAGGCCTACAGAAGAGCAGAATGGACATTTAGGCTTACAGACTGCTCCTGACCTTTAAGGCGTGACCCAGGGCTCTTCCAGAACAGAGTGCCCTCGTGCAGCAGGCTTCGGCGCAGCAACTCCTCAGGCCTGAACACTCGCCCATCCCTGACTCGGGCCACCACCTTCGGGTCCAGAGTGGCATGAATCTCCTCCACCCTCTGGCTCTTCTGTAGCTCGTCCATCTTTAGATACACATAAGTCCAATACAAGTTAAGTACGAGCTCTCCTTCTGCCTGAATCTCTCTTCTGGAAAATATATTCACATTTAATTAGAATTTGTATATTTTAGTTTCCTATCAACAGATTAAGGTATTTATTATTATATTATTATATGATTTTTATTATTTATTCAAATTTTTATTATTTATTCACATAATTCATTTTTTATGGAACATTGTAATTTCTAAAGGTGTATGTTGTCTTCCTTTTCACCTGCAGCGACTGACTAATGACACCACCTGTTAGAATGCCACCATGCGTGCAGGGCGGCGCGCAGGGTGGCGTGCAGAGTATTACAAAATGATATTTGTCCCTATAAGGCAGTTGCATCTCAGGTAGGAGAAGGATATTAGGGTTGCTAATTTATCCAGGGGTTAAACAGGGGTTGCTCAGAGAAAAATGTTAAGAACCACAAGTCAAATGTATGTGGTTCTGGTTCTGACCTGCTGTTCGATGGCAGTCAGAAGTTCTCTGGCCTTCAGCAGAGCCTGGGAGAGAGAGGATGCCTCTTCTTCATCTGGATACACACATACACACACACACACGCACACACACATTGACCTTGTTTTTAGCTTGTTACAAACAACTACTATCTACATTTAGAATATCATGAAAAAATTTCATAAAGTGAAATCCATATATTACATAGACTCATGACAAATGAGTGAAGCTTTCAAGCCTTTATTTCTTGAAATTTTGTTGATCATGGCTTACAGATGATGAAAACCCAAATATTTAGTGTCTCAGAAAATTACAATTATACAAATACATTAATTAAATTAATAAATAGATAAATGTAGTTAATAAGATTAACTGAAATTCAGGAGCAGGACCACGCCTCAGCTGCCCTCTCCTCTCACCAGCGAACCACAACTCACCTCCACCACGCCTCGAAATTCCCAGAAGCCTATATGTAGCTGCCTTTCCCATCATCCCAGTTTGTCTCGGCTAACTCGACCCCACCCTCCTATCCCCTATTTTGTCTTTCAGTCATAAGACCCCTACAAGGATGGTCCCGTTCCGGCTGGGCCAATTGCAGATTGAGACGGAGCCCCCACCCATAGTCTCAACCAGCCATCTCTGCCTCGCTTCGTACATTGTCAATAAACTTCTTTGCATTATGTCGTTGTTGGCGTGGTCCTAGCTAGTGAATACATTTTAAAAATATAAATTTATACAGAAATATCAGGCTTTTGAAAAGTATGTCTATGCACTCAGTACTTGGTTGGGCCTTTGGCATGAATGACTGCATCAGTGCGCTGTGGCATGAAGGAAATCCTCCTGTGGCACTGCTCAGGTGGAATGGAAGCGCAGGTTGCTTTGATTGCTGGCTCTGCTGTCTCTCATCTTCCTCTTGACAGCATCTCAGAGATTCTCTGTGGGGTTCCGGTCAGGAGAGTTTGATTTGCAAAAGATATGCAAAATGTACTTTCATCTGAAAAGAGACTTTGGACCATTGAGCAACAGTCCAGGTGTTTTTCTCCACAGTCCAGGTCAGACTCTTTTGACATGTCTCTTGTCCCACAGAGGCTTCATCTGTGTGGAGAGGCTCTTGATGCACTGACTCTAGACTCAGCCCACTCTTTATGAAACTCCCCCAAATTCTTGAGTGGATTTTGAGGGAAGGCTGCGCTCATCCCTTTGGCTGGTGCAACTTTTCTTACCACATTTTTCCTTCCAGTGAAGAAGTGAATCTTCTTGGATACAGCACTCTGTGAACAACCAGCTTCTTTAGCAATGACTTTTTGTGGCTTTCTCCTTGTGGAGGGACAGTAACTGTCTTCTGGACATTTGTCCACTCAGAAGACTTCCCCATGACTGTGTAACCCACTGACCCACACTCAGAGACCATTTAAAGTTTGAGCTAATTAAGGTGTGACACTCTGACTTTCCAATATTGAACTTTATCATAATATTCTCATTTTCTGAGACACTGAATTTTGGGTTTTTATTATTCGTATATTCATAAAAAAAACAAAAAAACAAACAAACAAACAAACAAAAAAATAGAAATAAAGGCTTGAACGCTTCGCTCTATGTGTCATGAGTCTATGTAATGTATGGATGTGACTTTCTGAAAAATGTTGAACTTTTTCATGATATTCTAATAATTGGAGATGGACTGTCATGGTATTTAGAGGAAATTATGGGTTTTATTTCCTAAATAAAAGATGCCTTTAAAAGCGCTTGAAGAATTTCCTCTTGGGGATGAATAAAAAAGATTCTGATCGTGCACTCTTATTTTGAGTGGGCTTTCCTCTCCACAGATGCGACCTCTAACGTGGCCACCTGCTTGTTTCCATGGAGATGGATAACGCCTCCTTAGATTGTAGGAGGCATTATTCATTTCTTCATGTTTGCTTCCAGGTGAAGCTGTGACTGAATGCATGTGGGTGCCTTAGCTTACCCACGGTGCTGTCCAGGATGTGTTGGATCAGGACAGGGTATTTGCAGATTCTCTGGGTCACTAACAGAATACACTCCTGGTATCCATGTCTGCGGAGGGCGGGGCTGCGGCTCACGCGCTGTGGGCAGAGCACAGCACATACACTTATGCACTAGCACCAACAGGGGGCTCCAAAGCACAGCAAAACAGTCAGGAGGCAGAAGAGCAGGCCTGCAGATTTTTGGCTGTTGCCTGTTCTGTCTGTTAGTGATGTGTAACATAAGTGATTTATTTATACATTTATCCATTCATATTTAAATTTTCAATGTACAGTTTAATTTTCACAAATTTTGAGTTCTGATTTATTTTTAAAGTAATGTAATGTAATGTAAATATAAAATAAAAAAGAAGTAAAAAAACAGGAAGTAGTTGTGAGGTCTAGAATGGAATCTCTCTACCATGTCATTAATAGACAAAATTCCATCCAAAATGTAGAGACAATTTATGCTCAAGGACGACATTTAACCAACACATTGAACACAATGAGGTTTTTTTTTCATTCATTTTTATTCATCTAATCATAACTATTACGTATTTTAGACTTTGGCCCTTGTTGGTTGGTTGATTGTGGTTGGTGGGTGACACTTATTGAATTATCTCTACATGTCTGATTTGCTGTCCAATCAGTGAGTAAAATTATAACCTTCACCCAAAGAGTTGAAATATATATGTATAAAGTTGAAATATATATATATATATATATATATACACACACACACACACATATATACGTGTTAACAATTTTTTAAATGAAAGGTGTTCCCTAACCTGTCATATGGACTTTATTTTATGATATATTATATTAAGAGTTGTTGATGTTTTTGGGCAGCTGATGGGAGCAGTAAAGCGTGTAAAGTGTCTTGCTCGGTGACACAGTTAGCAGAGTAAGCCTGATGTGTTTGTTCAGCCGGTGCTTGTGAGGTCATCTGATCTGAATGTGGAGCAAAGGGACCAGAGGGAAGAGGAAGTGGTGTGCTAGTCAGGAGGAAGTGAAACTCTGTCTCATTCACCCTCTCTTCCTCTCACTTAACTGTCCCCCCTCCCCTCCTCTCTCCCAGCCCTCTTCCTCTCTCTGTCTCTCTCTCTCTCAGGCCCTCCCCCCCTCTTTTTCACTCAGCTCCCCTCTCACCCCTGTCTCTCTCTCAGTCCCTCTTCCCCCTCTCTCACCTCTCTCTCTGTCTCTCTCTGTCCCTCCCCCCACTCAGTCCCTCTCACCCTCTCTTTCTCTCTCAGTCTCTATCCCCCTCTTTCACCCCTCTCTCTCTTAGTCCCTCTGCCCATCTCTCTAGTTCTCTCTTTTCTCTTTTACCTCGCTCTCATCCCCCTCTTTCTGCCTCCCCCTCACCTGGATGAAGGCCTGGACCCTCTTGTCTTTACTCAGTGTCTCCTTGTACACTTTGACAGCTTTTAAGTGACGTGTGCAGAACTCAGCGTAGGTTTTCCTCATGTCCTCTGCAGGCTGGCCCGAGAACTGTTACAAGAGAAGATGGTGGTTATTGTTTTGTATTGTAAGTAGAATTGCCAACACTATCAAAAATAATTTGCTAATATATATATTTGCAGGTACTGATACTGAAAAAGACAGGACAAAGATGAACATTTCCTTAGAATGATGTTGAGCTGTATCAGAACAAGTAGAAGAGCACATAGACTAGTCTGCACACATGGACACTATGAACCTACTGCACCACATATCACATCACACACATATAAAACTTTTTTTTTTAAAGGAGGTCTTTTACAATATAATCAGGAATGCCAATGCTCCTAATCTCCGTGGCCTTAGGCCTGCCTGGGAAAGAGACCTAGGTGTTCCTATAGAACAAGTTGAATGTTGATGGTGCAAATCCAACTACTGGCATGATGGCACATGTTATATGAATGTGACAAAGACAACCTCCTTTGGGGCAAAGTAATTAGACTTATTAACAAACAGTTGAATGTTACATGGAACACAAACCCTGGACTTTTCTTACTTGGAATTATTCCCGCAAAACAACTACTATACCAACAAACTCTGGTGTAAAATACCTCTTATAACAGGATGTCGGATGATAACTCAAGAAAGGAAATGTATAAGTGTATGTATAGAGGTGCACATGCGTGCTGTGTGCATGTATAGGGTATGCATGTCAATGTATGTGTGTAGTTATATGTACACAACATATATATGTATATGTGCTCTGTGCATGTCTGTGTGTGCATATATGTCCTATATATTAATTTCACTCTCATTTATTATAAGGTACTATATGTGTGTATGTATGTATATATATATATTTGTGTGTATGTATGTGTGAGTGTACATGTGTATATGCATGCATGCATGTATTTATGTGTGTGTGTGTGTGTGTGTGTGTGTGTATATATATATATATATATATATATATATATATATATATATATATATATATATATATATATTAGTGCTGTCATGCGATAAAAAATTAATTATGATCTGTAATTAATTAATCTAATTAATATCTTTTTAATCTCACCTAAAAATGGCTGAGAAAGCCTTCAATTTGAGGTATTTAAAAGACTGATATAGAACAAAAAAAAAGTGACTTTATAAAGTAATTTATTGTTTAACAAACTTTAACAGATGCAGTCACTTACATTCCACAGTATCATCATTATTATTACTATTACTAATCTGCAGTGTTGGGAAAGTGACTTTTAAAATGTATTCCCCTACAGATTACAGATTACATATCCCAAAATGTAGTTTGTAACTTAATCCTTTTAATTACTTAAAGTGAGTAATGTAATTTGAATACTTTGGATTACTTGATATTGTCATGCTTTTTAAAACTACATACTGCCGCATCCTGCAAATGTTGTTCTTGTTTGTTCTCTTCAAATTGGCTATTGAGCCCAAGTCTCCATGAATAAGAAACTGTTTGCTGTAAAGTAGCAAAGATGAGGAAATCTGAACATAATAACTTTTGTCTACTTAAAGACAATAAAAAGTCCAGTCTTTCCTTAACCATATTAAAAATATTATTGATAGAGAAATGCTTTATATATGAGATCACTGGTTTTAGTCCTGGTTTAGATCTGCTTTAGTCCTACTTTAGTCCTAGTTTAGTCCTGGAATGGGTTAGTCTTGGTTTTAGTCCTGGTGTTAGTTTTGGTTTTGTCCTGGTTTAGTCCTGGTTTAGACCTGGTTTTACTTCTGGTTTTAGGTCTGGTTTAGTCCTGGTTTAGACCTGGTTTTAGTTCTGGTTTTAGTTCTGGTTTAGTCCTGGTTTAGACCTGGTTTAGTCCTGGTTTAGTCCTGGACTGGGTTAGTCCCGGTTTTAGTCTTGGTGTTAGTTCTGGTTTAGAAGCACAAAGGAGGAAGCGCGGTTTACGCAGCGTACGTGAGAATACGTATGCGGCGCACGGGAGGACAGCGGTGTCCGCGCAGTAACTACGGAAGGAAACGTGGTCCGCGTGTTCTCAGGTTAATGATGATGATGAAGGTGTGTGTTTGTGTGTGTTTGTTTGTGTGTCTTTGTTTGTGTGTGTTTGTGTGCGTGTCCCCTCATGTGGCAGGTCACTATAGGACAGTAGTGCAGACATCATGAGCCTATGCAGGTTGTTTTCACCAGTGACATTTAAGTTGTAGGCGATTTTATATTTGTTATTTTCTTTTATATTTCACGTCGGGAGAATAATTTCCAAGACACGGATGTGTTTTTACCTGTGCACTGCTGACTCTGTTATACTGGCTCTTCGACCTCGTCCATTGTGCGACTGACGCTGCCAACGTTAACAAGACGTTTACATCGCTCTTACTGCGCGCATTTTGTGTGGGTTTCCGGCAATGAGTGGAATTACTGAAATAAAAAAATGCATAAATGTGTTTTTTTGTGTGTGTGTGTTGTTGTCCCAACAACACATAAAAACAGATTTTATTTTATTTTACATTTTTTTTGGAATAAAGCAACTCGCATACAGAAACAGTAAAGTTAGAGATTAAAAATGAGATTAACGCGATTAAAAAACATAACGCGCTAAATATGACTTGCAATTAACGCGATAATTTGACACCCCTAATATATATATATATATATATATATATATATATATATATATATATATATATATATATATATATATATACACAGTATATTAGGGCCCGACCGATATAGATTTTGTTGTGGCCAATATGAAACCGATAAAATGGGAGTTGTTGCTGCCGATACCCGATATAATCACCGATATATTTAGTGATGTAAAAATTCACTGTAAATCTTGAATTGTTTAAAAAACTTAGGTTTGGCTCTGGTGGATTTTAAATTGGGTTTATTTAGGCAACATTTATTGTTATTCTGCCTCTTTACATCATATTTGCAGACATTAGGTCGGACTAATGGCATTTTGCATCACATTCTAGACACTAGTGATGGGTGTTCCAGTTCTTTTTAGAGAAATGGCTCTTTTGGCTCAGCTCACTAAAAGCAGCTGGCTCTTTTGGCTCCCAAGCAGCTCTTCAGAAGGTCTAAACCAGGACTGAAAAAGGACTAAATCAAGACTAAAACAGATCTAAACCATGTGTAAAACAGGACTAAACCAAAACTGAACCAGCACTGAGTGTCAGGACTCGGTCTCTATCTCTCTCCGTCTCTTGAGCCCAAGATTATTCCTGGTTTATTTATTTTATGCTGAACTACAGCCAAATATGCAAGTTTTTTCTCTCCTATGCACATGCAGATTTCTGAAAGTTTCGTTTTCAGCCACTGCCACTGTCAAACTACCACGAGTCTGCACGCGGCGTGGAGAGAAAAAAAGTGAGAAAGAGAAAACACGGCTCCCAATAAGGAGCCGGCTCCCGTTGTTCGCTTCAAAGAGCCGGCTCTAAGAGCCATTTTGTTTGCGACCGACCCATCACGACTAGCTAGTAAAGAAACTAGCGCTATTAGCCTTTAGCCGTAAATACGTGCGCGCCGTGGTAATTAATTATATGCACAAATGTCATAATTCACACGTCTATTCACAGTTTATTTACATATCAATGCAGGTCGAGAAACAAATATATGGCCAATATAGTCACTTTACAATAGACCAATAGAAAACAGCCTGTTTATGTGTGAGAGCTACAGCAGCTAATCGCTAAACAATGAGAATGAACCAAAACTAGCTTCAAAGTCGACATATTTCCAACACTCACTGGTCACACAGGCTCCTCCTCACATCACAAGTCTGCACTAATAAATGTCCTTTTAATCCAGACTCAAACCGATTGTCCGTAAAAAGAATATAATCTCAGTGTTGCACATGGATCTATGTCTGCGGCTGTAAACAAACGCCCGTGACTCTGGTGGTGTGTTCAGGGACAGTACGGACACACACACAGACAAATGACTCCGCAGATAAATACTGATGCGGAGCCACATATTTAGACATTTATCTGTAAATTGGATTAAATTAACATATATATATATATATATATATATATATATATATATATATATATATATATATATATATATATATATATATATATATATATATATATATATATATATATCTATATCGGCCAACCGATATATATCGGTCGGGCTCTACAGTATATTATACGATTATAAGATATAAAAAAATATATATTTTATTTCCCTTTTTTCCCTATACTTCTTCATTGATTTTGTTTACCTATCACTATATCTGTATTAATTTATTATTATTATTATTATTATTATTATTATTATTATTATTATTATTATTATTATTATCATGATTATTACTATTTCTGGAGACAGTGGGGGAGGATAATGGGAGGAGGGTTTGGGGGAGGGGAAATTGTCCCATTACATTACTACTAGTTGTTTTTTAAAATATCTGCTTTATGTACTCAAAAAAGGATTGGAATTAACAGTCAGTCATTTTAATTTTGAGGTAGGTTTAATTATCCTCATAGGAAAATCTGTCCTGTACATTTGATCCATCTCTCAATGCCACTGGTGGAAACCGTCAGGAGCAGTGGGAGACCACACTGCAGTGCCCAAGGACCCATCACCAATTTAGCCTGTTATGGTCTGGAGTACCGAGTTGGAGGCTTAGTCTCTCCTGCATGTTTGCGTGAACTTGTCATCATTTGAGATTCGGAAAAATCAAGATCTAGAGCTTTTATGTCCCTCTCTGTAACTCAAAGAGAGAAGGAGCAGTTCCCAGGCGTCCTCTAACTGTGTGTACCAGCTCAAGATGGTGGACAGTTGCTCTCCCAGATATGAGAAGATCTGAGTACAACAATGAAACTATTGAATATTTTCCTTGGATTAGAAAAAGTGTAACAGCTATTGTGTGACTATTTACTGTAGGCAGTGCTCTTAAAGAGTGGGTATTTTGCAAAATCCAATTTTTTCAGCTTCCCACCATGTTATAAAGTTGTTCCCTCATGCCTGAAAATGTTTCATATGTCATCCATATATGTTTGAGTAATTTAGCAATCTCTCTCGGACCCTATTTAGCAGCATGAGCCTGTACGAGGCTCCGCCCACACGTCACCCATTCTCCCCACAGCCATTTTTCAAAAGCAGGATATGAAACAATGCACTGCAATTTGACAAACCAGATGCAATGTGCAGTAGTTTCATTAACGGGATGCACGCTAATTGTGTTGTGATAGCGTTCTGAAGGGGGAGTAACTTAGGGCACGGAGTAAAGAGAGGGGACACACACAGAATTTTCAAAACAATAAAAGTTAATGTAGCCCATCTATATATTTTGGATGAAATGTTAATTTATATAGTATTTATCAATTACAGTATATGCACTGCTAATTTATTAAATTTGAATGTAATTAAAACACACTGTAGCATCGAGAGCAGACAGGAGATGGGTGGTGCTGATAGTTGGGGGTCCAGCAATAAAAGTAGGTCAGACACACCCATCCAGTGTTGTGAGTGTGGCCTGCACTCAGGTGTTGTAGCCCTGCGTGCCTCGAATGTATTGAACCGCTTGGATAAAATAAATGTTGCAAAACAGAACCATTCGCCTGGATTATTTAAGAGTGCAACAGTAACATGGTGACATATGAAACAAATATAAATGTTTTGTGTTAGAGAGGATATTCCACTGACACATCACATATTTAGATCACCATGTTGCCATTTATCGTTTTGAAACTGCTATAATCACCCAAAACAACATATTAACATGTTTTTGGTGCTCTGAGTGTCCCCTCCTTTTGCTCTCCATAATAAATTACTCCCCCTTCAGAGCAATATCACAACACAGTCAGTGTGTATCTCACTAATGAAACTCTTGCACATCACATCAGGTTTGTCAAGTTGTTGTGTACAGTTTTGTATCATGTTTGTGTATATTTATGGAGAATTGTGGTGTGGGAGCGTGAGTGACGTAGGCTTGTGGGCTGAGCCTAGGACAGAATCTTGTAGCTAACCGTGAGGACGGTTTGAATAGTGCCCAGGAGAGATTGCTAAATTACTCAAACATGCATGGATTCCATATAGAACATCTTCAGGCATGTTTTTTGATGAGGAGACGTATAACATGGTGGAAAGCTAAAAAAACAAAAAAAAAGAAGAAAAAGATTTTGCATAATGCTCCCTCTTTAGTAATGTATAGCCCATAGAAGTGTAATACTCCCTCTTTAAAGCCTGACCTGGTCAAGAAGAATGTCCCCCAGTCTGTGGATGGCAAAGTTCCTGGACGAGCCGGGCTCCAGGCTCTCGAGGCGCCGCTGGAGGAGATGGCTGAGGAAGCGTCCGTGGATATGACACAGCTGCTCCAGCTGGGGGAACAGGGTCTCCACGGTGCTCGGGTCTAGGTGGAGCTCGTCTTGTAGACCCTGGCGGTACACTCGCTCCAACACCCTCAGAGTGCGCATGTGGTGCAGCTCGGTCTGAATCAGCTCTAAGGAGGGTGTACAGGCACACAAGATGTGTTATATGTAGGATCACCAAAATATATGCCCAGACATAAATCTGTACTATAGCTATCCATATTTAATATATTGTTACAGTCTTTAAATATACATTTATACTGGAAGCTAAATTAAAGAGGAGTTTTTTTTTTACTTTTACTGGGTACTGTATGTTATTTCACCGAAAACAATGTATTAACATGTTAAATGTAAAATGAAACTTTAAGTTAGGGTAAGAGAATGTAGGTGTCAGTAAGCTGATGACTTGGAAGTGATTCTATGTTTTACATGTAAATACTCTGTTTTCTAGTATATTTCTATTTAAATTGTTGTCTTTGGATGAACTCCTGTGTAAGATAAGATAAGATAAGATAATCCTTTATTGTCTCCCATGGGAGAAATTTGTCTTGGGACAGGGGGTAACATGTTTTATCAAAAAACAGGACAACACAACACAAAGCAGCACATAAACAAACACCATAAAACAAAGTAAATATGAGACCAGTATGACCACGAGTGATGCACCAACACGACCCTTAAATTATCCTTGACAGGCCCTTGCATTCTTCTGTTCTATTAATTATTGCACATTCCCTAAGCCTATGTGCAGTTTTAGTTATAATTATTGCACATTCCCTAAGCCTATGTGCAGTTTTGATTGCACATTCCCTAAGCCTATGTGCAGTTTTAGTTATAATTATTGCACATTTACTTAGCCTATGTGCAGATTTAATTATTGCACATTCCTTAAGCCTATGTGTAGCTTTAATTGCACATTCCCTACACCTATGTGCAGTTTTAGATATAATTATTGCACATTCCCTACACCTATGTGCAGTTTTGATTGCACAATCCCTAAGCCTTTTATAATTATTTTTTGACTGCATTATCTGAGTTAAGCAGTTTAACAGCTAGTGGTACAAAAGAATGTTTGAATCTGTTCAGTTTACAGTTTGGGACCCTGAACCTTCTGCCTGATGGCATCAACTCAAACTGACTGTGAAGAACATGGGTTGGGTCATTGATCACCTTCCTGCTGAGCTTCCTCACAGTCTCCTCAAAAATTTGCTGAAGTGAGCTTGGGGCCACACCCATTATTTGACCTGCTCTTTTAGTCAAGGTAAAAATCTGTGCTGTGTAGGTGTAGTCTTGAGTGGAGTTTGGGTCTGATACATGGTCAGATCCTAATAATCTTGAAAGCTTTTACCACACTCTCTTTTCAGCTGACCAGTCTGTCTACAAGAGGGGTGTCAAACTCATTTTGGTCTGGGGGCCGTGTCCAACCTACTTTGATCCTAAAGGGGCCAGATCAGAAAACTCATGTCATATAAACCCCAAAAATAACAATAAGTATAAAAAGTATAAATAAATCTATTACAGAAATCTTTTTTAATTGATGAACTCTTTCTTTTACAAAATATTATTATGAACAACCTGAAACTTTAAGAAAAATACAATTTCAACACAAAGTTTTAACATTAACTTGTATGCAAATAGAAATAAGTCAATTTTTGTTGTAAAATCCTACACTCGGCTCCACTTTTCTCATGTTGGACATTTTTCTGATGAGGGTGTCACGGTCAACAGTCAAAACGATCGTCCTTTAAGAGCGTTTAGAAAGAGACAAGTCTTCATTTGTGCTGCTCTGGTGGGAGGGGCCACGTACAGAGACGCTAGAGACGCTGCTGTGATAAACACCACAGAAAATTAACAAGATTTTAATAGAAAATATAATTAAATAAAATCAGCCGAGGGCCAGATTAAAGGTCTTGGAGGGCCGAATGTGGCCCCCGGGCCTTATGTTTGACACCTGTGGTCTACAGGGATAGTAGTTTTAGAATAACCTTCATCAGAACTAAAAAAGACCACATAAGCTGCAGAACCCGATTTTCAAACCACAGTAATAATTGGGTGGCTCACCCACTCACAGTCAATCCTAGCACTGCTTATGGTTCTCTCATTTGAATTTGGGATCCATAAAAGACTTTTTTACAATACAAAAACAATTAACTGACTGATTTACAAGAACAAATTCAGGTATTCCATCTTGAGCCCATATTACACTGTTATAATGTTGTTTCCTCATCACAAACAGACCTGGAGCTGTGTTCTGTTTCATTCACACGTGAATGAAGGTTCACAGGGTTTGTATGTTAAATACAAACCCTGCACATTTAGACTGTGTCCTCCTCAAACAGAAAACACTCCAGCTTGTGATGTCATGTGGTTATTCAGGAAGTGCTCCACTGTGTTTCTAAACTCCATACACCTTCACTAGAATCATTTGGACAACTCCAGCCCTAGAATTGCCCATTTTTACAAAACTGAAAAATGTAGCTGTTTACAGCTTCATGACATCGCAAGGTGGAACAGAGCATTCTGTGCTTTAGAGAGTTAGACAGACTCATATTACTCAAATATGGGAATGAAACAAAACACAACTCTGGGTATGTTTTTGAGGAGGCAACAACATTACAACATTGAGTAATTGAGGACCTTTACAGCTTCGTGACAGTTAATTAGACAAACAATGTTTGGTCTTCATCAGTAACACACTGGAACTACTATTTTATTATCTAATTATGCTATAGTAAGGGATGTGTTAGGCTGTTGCCCAGGCGATGGAGCTTACCGTAAATCACGTCTTGTCTCTTGATGACTGCTCGGTGGTGTTTCTGGAGGTAGGTCCTGTCCACAGCCAGGCTCCAGGAGTCTGCTTTAAAGTGTTGGCCCTCCACGTCCGAGTCCTCCAGAGCACTGCTGTACTGGCCATCTGCTGCTGCGTGACAGTTCAGCCATCTTAACAGAATCCACTTAATGGATGGTACAGAACATAAAATACTCATATATATATATATATATATATATATATATATATATATATATATATATATATATACATTGTTTTTAACCTGTGGTTTAACAGAATTATTAGAAAAAAAACTACATAATGAAACTGGTCTGGACAAAAATGATGGTACCCTTAACTTTATATTTTGTTACACAACCTTTTGATGGAAACTCTGCAAACAAATGATTTCTGTAACTGTCAATAACACTTCTGCTTTGATCAACAGGTATTTTAATCCACTTCTCATGAGCAAACTGTTCTAGTTGTCTCAGGTTTGAAGGGTTCCTTCTCCAGACGCATGTTTCAGCTCATTTTACAGCCGTTCAGTAGAACTGAGATCTGGGCTCACAGAAGAACACTACAGAACATTCCAGTGTTTTGTTATTAGCCATTCTTGTATGTTTTTAGCTGTGTGTTTTGGGTCTTTCTGACATTAGTCAACACTTTTCATTCCAAAATACCTTGATAGTTTTGAGATTTTGTTGTACTTTGTACAGATTCAAGACACCCTGTGCCAGATGCAGCAAAACAGCCCCAGAACACAACCAAGTCTCCTTCATGTTTCACAGTAGGGACAGTGTTCTTTTCTTGGTCTACTTCATTTTTGCGTCTGTGAACATAGAGCTGATGTGTCTTGCCAAAGAGCTTCAGTTTTGTATCATCTGTCCAAAGAACATTCTCCCAGAAGTTTTGTGACTTGTCAGTCTGCATTGTGGCAAATTCCAGTTTAACTTTTTTATGATTTGCTCTCAGTAGTGGTGTCCTCACATGAAGTCCACTTTGGCTCAAACAGTGATGGATGGTGTGATCTGACACTGATGTACTTTGCCCTTCAAGTTCACATTTAGTTTCTCTGGAGGTTCTTCTGGGCTCTTTGGTTCCATTCGTATGATCCATCTCTTGTATTTGTCATCAGTTTTCCTCTTGCAGCTGCATCCAGAGAGGTTGGCTTCAGTCCTGTGGACTGTAAACTTCTGAAGAACATGTGTAACTGTAATCACAGGAACATCAAGCTGCTTGGAGATGGTCTTATTGTCTTTATCTTTAACCTGCTTGTCTATGATTTTCTTTCTAGTCTCCTGACACAGTTCTCTTCTTCTCTTTCTCTGCTCCATGTTCAGTGTTGTGTCCATCATGTCTCCAAACAGCACAATGACACATGTCTCCCTTTAAACAAACAGACACCTGTGATGCAGATTAGAGACACACTGAAGTTTAACATGTCCCTATTGTCCAACTGTTTACAATCTTTTCTAGGGGAACCATCATTTTTGTCCAGGCCAGTTTCATTAATTTTTTTTTTTTTTTTTATAATTCTGTTGAGCAGCAATTCAAAAACAGTGTCTGATTTTCATTGGTTATTTTTCAGGAAATTTTTATTTATTATTGGTTTTGTAGATTTTTCTTTCATTACCAGAGGGGTACACCAGCAACAAACCACGACTGTGTGTATATATATATATATATATATATACACACACACACAGACACACACACACACACACACACACACACACACGACCAGTCAAAGGTTTGGACACACTTTTTCATGTATGTTTCTTCGTTGAAATTATTTACACTGTAGATTGTCACTAAAGGAACAAAACAAAAGCTATGAATGACACGTGGAATATTGTAAACAGAAAAATATTTTTTTAAATGGCCAGCTGTGAAATGAAAACCATTTCTGGACACTTCATTAAGAATCCCACTGAGGGAAAGCTAAGGGTTTACAGCACTTTCAACAAAGCAAAAGGTGACTTTGGATATATGAATATAAAATATAAAGCAATATATTTAGTCCATGTTATAGCTTCATATATTTGTTGTCTTCCATATGTATACAAACAACAAACACTGATTACGAGTGGGTCCAAGTGTGTGACAGGTTGTGTATGTTTTTGTTAAAGGGCCTGTGTGTGATTTTTAGCCAGGAGTGAGTTAAATGTAGCCACAGGTCAGGTTGTAAAATACATACTTTATGTCTTTCTGTCTTTTTTCCTTACGTGGCCAAACCTCCTTCTCAAAGCCTGATCTCATCAGATGCTCAGCAGGGCCGGGTCTGATCAGGACTTGGATTGGAGACCACTGGGAAAATCAGGTGCCACAGGGGGGCACCAGTTGCAAAAACAGTTGTTGCATCCTTAGGCAAGACACTTCACCCACATTGCCTTGTATGACAAGCCGAGCCCCAGTGCAATTGTGGCTACAATAGAAGCTTAACACCACCAAGTGTCAAGAGAATGAATAATGCACCAAACTGTAAAGTGACTTTGAGCATCTAGAAAAGCATTGTTTAATTTGTGCTCTGCATTTGACCCATTCTTCAATATCGCTGGGGCCTCTCAGAAGCAGGGGACAGCACGTGGCACACCTGGGGATGGCACACCTCCATGATCTTGACCTATGGTACATGTTTTAGGTTGATGGGGGAAACTGGAGTGTCTGTAGGAAACCCACCCAGACACAGGGAGAACGTGCAAACTCCACACAGACACAGGGAGAACGTGCAAACTCCACCCAGACACAGTGAGAACATACAAACTCCACACAGACACAGGGAGAACGTGCAAACTCCACCCAGACACAGTGAGAACATACAAACTCCACACAGACACAGGGAGAACGTGCAAACTCCACAGGAGAACATGCAAACTCCACACAGACACAGGGAGAACGTGCAAACTCCATCTAGACAAAGTTAGACCATCCAAACACTGCACAGAAAGTCCCAGGTGACCTGGGGATCAAACCTGGAACATTCTTGCTGTGAAGTGTGAGCAGTAGCCACTCAGCCTCCATGCTGCCTAAGGTTCCACACTCATTTCTAAAGCTAAGGTTCATTTTTCCTAGTTTTAGTATTGATTACAATCTGCTTTTCTATACTTTTTTCTATACTTTTGACAAATGTACATCAATTAAGAGCATCCTGTATGTAGCCTCTCCCAGACTATTTGTTCATCCAAGTTACTATGGTACATTGTTGACTTTTGTGTAAACATGTAGAAGCATGGCTGACCTCCATCATCGCTGAGGGACTCCACTGACATGGCTCTGGTCCTGAAGATGAGTGAGTCTGTGGACTGAGACAAGATCCGCCGCAGTCCAAGAGAGGAGTCCTCACTCAGAAATCTACACACACGACACACACTGATGTAAAGTTTAATGTTGTGTCGGTACCATAGACTGTGTTGCACAACATTCTAACAGCCAGTAATATTTGATACAGATGGGGGCCAGGTAAAATGTATTGTAAAATTCAGATTTTTGTTGTAATATAGTGGGTTCTTAGGTCTAATCACATACAAAAATAATCAGATCCAAAATTTGTGACTTTACCTTTTGAATATTTCATGGCAAAGTACAATGTAATCAATAGAAAAATGAAAACAGGATGTTAACATATGGGCACTTCTGGCTCCTTCTGACCCTGGCTCCCATTGATTTATATTGAAATATTGTGACCTCTCTCTGTAATTGCTGCTGTGAGCCTTGTCACTGTGGTCTTAAAATGTCTCTCCACATGATCTTATGTTTTCATTTAGCTATTTTGTCAGTTAAAAAATCTTATTCCTAATATACAGCCTAGCTCCAAATTTGGCTGGAGCCGAAAGCTATGGGTGACTTCTTTATACACTCTATGGTGGGGACGTTATATCAACTTACATCCTTTACCGGAGACTGATCTACTTGCCAAAACTCATAATCTTAACACTCTCCTAAATAAACAAATAAATATTTGTTAGTAAAGCTACCAATGCAGTGGCTGTTGTGTGGCATAACACAACAACTTAACATTGGGACTGAACACAAATGTCCCCATGAAGTGAGTATGTATATAAAATTCAGTCCTGACAATGTGATGCATACCTGCCCATTCGCCCACATGCACACACAGATATTAGTCACATCGCAGAGTTTTGCTCAGCAGATTCTCCTTGTATTTGCATGAAACCTAAGAGACACTGGTCGCATAATGTTTACCCGACAATATTATTGGAGGAGACGCTCTTGGAGAGAGATAAGCCCCGCCCCCGACAGGAGCCTAGGATGGAGCGGCGGAAGCTGTCTGAGGCATACACAGCAGAACTAGGCCTCTCTGGGAGCCTGCGGGCTTCAGGAAGTGCTTTAGTATCATAGAATCACTGTAAACATCAATACATGAAATAAGAATACCAAAGCTTACCTTTAGTCTTCACTGTATCATTCTGCAGTGAGGAGTTTAATATGGCAGGTTTAGCCTATACAGAAAAGCATGAATGAAAGAGGGAGAATTCAAACAGACATTAGACCATCTCAAATGTGGAAAGAGTCAAGAGAGTGAGAGGCTGTCCCAATATTTACCCTGTGCTTGGTTTTGGAGCAGTCTGGGCAGCCGTCCTGACAGTGACTGTGGACAGTGACACCGCACACTAAAAGGAACAACACATCAGTGGTGTTTTTAGAGATGTACAGCACAAAGCTTTTAAATAAACACAAGACTTATGGAGGGGGTCTTTCATTACACTTCTATGGGGTATTAATTAACATACTTAAATCACCATGTTACCTTTCATTGTTCTGAAAATGCTATAGACAGATTAGTTATTTATCAGGAGACATGCGTAGTAGTGCACCAGGTAACGTGGTCTGATAATGCCTCTATATTTGCAGAAAAAAATGTATTAACACGTTTAATACGTTTTCATTTGCACTACTTTTATTGTTGGAAAATGCCTATGTGAAACTGTTTAAACCAACATATATTGCATAACCCAAAGACTAAGTTAGAAGTTGAAATGTATGATTATTCAAACATGCATGAATTAATACAAATACAACTCTGAGTAGCCTCACCCCAGAGGACAGACAGACACTGTGACACTTTTGTACATGTTACCACAGGTAAAGAGAGGCAGGACTCACAGGCACAGTTTAGGGCCTCCTTGGCAGTGATGCGCTTGCTGCAGGCCGAACACATGGTGGTCCCTGAGACAGTCATGGAGGTGAAGAGGTGTGTACTGCCTCCCCGTACCCTCCTCTCCCGAGACTCCTTTTCCGACCGGGTCAACTCTCTTTCCTTATGCTGCCACGAGACAGAGAATCGTTCATAATAAGTTCGTTAATTGTGATATTAACACACGCTATTTGCAATTTACTACAATTTCAAACTCAGTTTCAATTCTAATGAACAGACTATAATTATAATCATAATCATAATCATAATCATAACTATTTCTTTAGACAATAGAATGTGAGTTTCAACATTAAATGGCAGGTTTTTTTTATTCCCATGTGTCCTTATATGTGTGTAATCCCTCAGTGGTCCAGGTAGGTTCCACAGTGGTCCATACTGGATTCACCAAGTTCATTTGAAAACAAACTGGCAGGTCAGTGACTAGAAAATTTACATGACGCTACTTAAAGGACATTTCTCATAAGATCACAACAAGTTCTTCCTCTGAAAATATAAAAAATAACACGAATGCCAAACCAGATCAGACCAGAATGTTTTAAAGAGGGAGCATTTGACTTCTATGGGGTATTAACTGTAACACATAACATATTTAGATCACCATTGTACCCTTTATTGTTCACAGATAACAACATATTAACACCTTTTATAAGTTTCAGTTTCAGTCCACGTGCATCCTGCTAATGAAACTACTGCGCATTGCATCAGGTTTGTCAAGTTGTAGTGTATTGTTTTGTACCATGCTTTTGTATATTTATGGAAGACTGTAGTGCGGGTGCATGGGTGACCTAGACTGACGTTTGCATGCATGGATGATATCTAAAACCTCTTCAAGCATGTTTTTGGAACAACGTTATAACATGGTAGAAATCTCCAAAAAATTATTTTGAATAATACCTGCTCTTTAATCAAAATCAGGAGTAAACTACATCTGAAATGGACTTTGTTTTAAAATACAATTAAATCCAAAATCAGGCCAAGTGTAAAGCAGGACTAAACAAGACAAAGTGTATGAAGACCTACCCACCAGAGAAAAGCCACAGTGGTTTGAGAAGCACCCATACATACGGCAGCACAATGGGGCATATGAGGAAGTGACTACACAGAGTCTGTAGGAACTTCACTGCGCAATCTCCCCAGTGTCTTTGTGACTGTATTTATCCGAGAGATCCAAATATCACACACTGCCATTTCTATGGTAACAGTTGAGTCAGATGTTCAGTGAGCAAACTGCCAACAAGCCAACACAGAACATGACAGCCGCCCACAGAGCCAGTCCCACTTCTGCAACAGCTCCAACTGTGCACTAGTATAATACTGCTAATACAGGGCCCATCTCAGCTGATCCAGGGGCCAATCCAGGAGCCAATCCAGGCATCCAGGGGCTGTGGGACAGTGTGCACTCCACAGACACCTCTGGACACAAAATGATCTCTGATATCGTGGTACTTTTTGCAGTCCATTAGAGATGTACTAAAATATGCCTGTAAATGTCTTGGTTGAGGTTTGAGTAAAAAAGTGGACTGCAAACTGAACACAAAAGTTGGGAAATATCACTAAGACACTTTTCCTAATTTTCTCAAAGACTATAAATCTGATATTTAAATTTAAATCCTTAAAACAACTATTGCAACGGTATACAACAGTATATGAGTACTTTACTCCCCTTCCTTCCTCACACTGTCATGTCACTTACTTGCAGACTCATGTCGCTGAGCTTGTCCTGCTGGGGTTTTGTCACACAGCTGTCTTTAGACATGGAGATATTCCCGAGACAGAAAAGGCTCAGTGAAGCAGACTCCAGCAGAAGCTCAGTGTGCACATTGGAGCATACTGGAGCGCCTCTTGTGCTGGTGCAGCCGTGTTCCTGTGAGTGTGAGTAATGCCGCCCCCGGACGTTCAGGCAGGCGGAGCTCATGCGTGGTACAGGCTCAGCTGAAGACACGCTGCTCTGGCTCTGTGGGACTGAAGCAGGGCAGCACAAGTTCACTGTGTTTATGATATTGGTGAGGTCATATGGGCAGTATCTATTAGAGGAACTGTATGTTGCCTGTGCTCTTACAGTAAAAAAACAAACAAAAAAAGGAAACACAATCACAACTGAACCTGTATCACACACAGCCAAGTTTGTCTCATTCGCAGTATATGGACAGGCCATGCCTCATGTGACGCTAAGAACCTCCAGAATTCCCTCCCTGAGCTGTAGAAGCTGCACTAGCACTGACTCATGACTGGCTACAGGTGCTGGGGTTTAGGTAGTGACCCATTCAGATCAGAGAGAGAGTCTTTGTAGGATTAAACCAAATGGATTTCAGCATTGAAACTGGCAACCCAAATGAGGGACTCATGTGAAGCTCATTCTGCTTTGTGCCTGAATCAGTCTGCTCGAGAACCAAAAAGCATCAAATTATAGCTAACATGAATAAATGAGACATCAATTTCCAGTGATTTTGTAATTAAGTATTCAACATTAGTATTGTTATCAGTAACAGCTATAGACCAAGGCTATTTGATTTGAACATTTACCTTGTACAAGAGGACACAGATTAAGTTTTTTTTTAAATTAATCAAAATCTTACATACAACTCCTTTAAAGTGAACTTGAATGATTGAAATGTTTTTAGTTGCATAAACTCATAAAGCAAATTTAAATCCACAGATCTATAGCCTACCTACTAAAGTCTACCTGCTCAGTATGGACACAGGTCATGTACAAAACCAAAAGGTTACACATCCTGACAAACAGTGTTGGACTGCACAATGCTTGAGCTGAAGTTCACAACAAATCTAAAACAACTGCGCTTTCCAAGGTGGAGAAACTCACGGACAGTGTACACTCTTGCGTTCCTTTGGCAGTGACAAAGATAGAGGCTACAGCCTTTTGTTTATACAGATCTGTATAACATTATTACAGCCTGCGAACTGCAAACACAGCAAACAAGTCTATACAATGTGCCAAAATTAAATGCCTCCGCTCAATTTCATTTCTCTCTAGTGACGAGGTCAAGAATCAAAATACACTAGAGAATTTGCAAAAAAGTGCAAGTTCGAATGCAGTCAGCGAAAAGTCATATATTCAGTGTTGTCAATGATTCCCGAGATCGAGGATTTAAAGTAGGAACAAAGAGAATGTTTGGTGAATTTCATCAATGGGAAAGACATTATTGTCCTTCTTCCTACGGGATTTGGGAAAAGCTGACTATACCAGTTAGCCCCGTTAGCGGCACATTACATACGTCATGACCAAATAGCAGCGATTGGTTAAATGATAAAAAGTACCTGCCTACTGTCGAGCGAACGAAATCTAACACTGCGAACTCAGACGGTTTCCATGAAGTGAAATGAAGTGAAACCGGCTGATGAATCAGGCTAGTCCTGTTAACCAAAAAAAAAAGAAAGAAAGAAAGAAAGAAAAAAAAAGCTATTTAATAGAATAAATAAAATAAATTCAGAAAAGGAAAATAGAGTCATTAGCATTATTGTTAAATTTCACACAAGGCCTGTATCATATATGCTATATGTTTTGTTGTTGTTTTTCCTTGTTGTGCACATGGCAAGTGCCCAGCGAAGCCTCACAGTAGGATTTTTTCTCACTTTTTCTTTTCTTTTAACAGTGACGACGAGCATAGTGTCAGTGTGGAACATTCCAGGAACAGCAATACCATCCATGTAGACAAGCAGGTGAGGAACCTTCAAATGGGTAAAGAGGTTCACTTAAGGAGGCTGGATGCACAGATGGCTGCTGACCTAAAAAGAAAACTGGAACAGGATTGTTCGCCTGGCGGCTTCTTCCTGCATGTTGATGACTTTATATTTACTTAGGAAATAAATATTAGCTTGGATCATTTTGGTAAAAGAGTAGGCCTACAAATATTGAACTGAAAAGTCTTAAATGAAAAGCCTTTGTCAGGTTGAGAGGCGCACTGCTTGCACTTTCACACCAGAGGGCGATGTGGCTCTTTTTAATGAGCCACTCGAGTCACTGCTGGAGTTCAGAGTTCACGACAGTCTTTTCTCGCATCATGATTGATTCAGATATTTGTGTATTTTCTTTTTGGACTATGAAATAGGAATAGGCAACAGACAGTGTTTCCTAGAAGAGTGTGATTTCTTCTGATAGCCTATGTATCCCACAGCCAAACAGTGTAGTAGTAGTAGTAGTAGTAGTATTAGTAGTGTAATTCCAATTACACATTAGTTTTGCTCAGCAGTTCACTATTGATAGTCATTCTTCTTTCTTCCCTTGACAGTTGGATAAATTCTTCATGGAAGAATGTTTGTCCTTTGTGGACCTTGTTGGATGAAGATTTGTTGATGGGCAGATTTATGAAGCTGCTGGAAAATACACAAGACATTTCCACAGACATTTTGTTATAAAAATGCATTACCCGGACGTTATGTTTATCCTACATCATGGCACTTCTGTGTGAAAAAGGTCTGTTGTGTAAATACAGATAACATAGGCCTTTTGCCCATGAAAGTGTCACCCTAAACTCTGTGTCTAGTTACGATTAGGCAAAACTCTATAGTTAAGGTTAGGAAAATGGTTGGGCTTAACTTTAGTTAGTAGTGACATTACACTGAAAACAGCGGACAGGAAACAGTGGAGTTTGTTTGGCGATCTTGAATGGAATGGCCACTGTTTTTTTACTTGTAAGGACTTGTGGAATCAGGCAAATGACGTGAGGGTCCTCTGAGCCGAGGTCTGCGGGCTGGTTCTGCTCCAGACTGACGCCTCACACATGTAGTGCTAAATGAACATGCTGGTGCTGCGGCGGACGCGTGTTCTGTGGTGAGTAATAGTGTTGTGAATGAGGAGGGACAGGAGGCCCCACAGGAGCACACCAGAGCAGGGACACGGCCTCACCTTCTGCAGCCCTCGTGCACCCATGTGTGAACATAAACTCAATAAAGAAGTGGACTAAGGGAGTGTGATGTCACCCACAGCATGTGGCTCCAGTCAAATGAAGCTCATGAGGTAAGCAGTTATAGGGGCTAATTTGGAGCCAAGTTCCATATTGAGTTGATTTACGGACAAAATAGTAAAATTAAAAAAACAGGATCTAGAGCAAGTTAAGACCACAAACTGTATACAGGGTTCCCACTCTTTTTCACTCGCAACATTTCAAAATTTTTCCATGACTTTTTCATGACCTAAATGAATTTTGACTTAACAGCACCCGATAGAATTGGTCAGACTTCTAGGGCTAAATATGAAATGTTAACCCTTTCCACTCAGTGTATTTATTGTCGTCTCTTTTAAACAAAAGGCACAGATGTTCAGAAATCATAATAGCCTCATGAGAACTTAACAGAACGCTGGAGTTGAGTGAAAGAGATACTAAAATTCCATGACGTTTTCAGGCCTGGAAAATGACTTTTCCATGACTTTTCCAGGATTTCCATGACTGTGGGACCTCTGTGCATATGTAAATGTACATAGCTAATGTGCTAGCCTCTGTGTTACAAATAGGAAGTTCACATGCAGGTTCTTCTGGTTCCTACTGACACAGGCTCAATTGACTTACATTACAATACTGTGGCCCCTCTCTCTGTGCCTGCTGCTGTGAGCCTTGTCAGTTTGGTCTTAAAATGTCCATATTAACCCGCTCTACATGATTCTGGTGTTTGTTTTTTTTCACTATTTTGTCCGTCAAAAAATCCCGTTCATCCAGAGCGAATCTGGAGCCTAGCTCCTGTAACCATGAGCATCACAAGCTTCTTCTGAGTGGTGCTGAACGCTACGGGTGACGTCACACTCGCTTTGTCCACTTCTTAATATAGTCTATGGTTAAGACAGACATTTAATATGAAAATGAGAAGGCTCATATCAGCAGTTACTGAGAGAGGAGAGTCAGTTTTCCATGTAAAGTCACTTGGAGTCGATGGAGCCAAAGGCGCCCCCATGCTCACTAGCGGGTTAGCTACTGTATGTCCATTTATATATACAGTCTATGTGTGCGTCCTGCTGTGCTCAACCTGTCCACACAGTCAGTTCACCAAACTAGAGCGATCACTAATGTTCTGTCTCATCTGAACAGAGTGGTCCAAAAAATGACTCAAGTAAGAGTAAAAAGTATTTGGATAAAAAGATTACTCAAGTAAGAGTAACTTAAGTAAGTGTGAGTAAGTGTCATTTATAATTTTAAGGTAATTAGAAGGACAAAACATTAAGGACAGGGTATAGACTTGGTAAGACATAATATATTCAGATCACAATGTTTCCTTTTCTTGTTAACATGCATCTGAAACAATGAGGAAACATTATAAGACGTATAATACCCCCTCTTTAAATAATGCACAAAATCTAGTGTTTTCAAAGGACAGACACAAAAATGATGCAAACCAAATCATATCAGATGTGTGTCTGTCTTTTTGTGTCTGTCCTTTGAAATACCAGATTTTGTGCACCTATTCTGCAAAATTGACATAATTCATTCAGAGTCAAGGATGGGACAGTGAGCTGTCCTGGCCCTGCTCTTGCATAACTCACCAAGGTAACGCTCTGCTGATCAGATGAGGATCCTCCTACTCCCCCCCATCCTATTTCGTAGATCACTACTTTGTACGTCTACATGAGTTATATTATTTTGAAGTAATGTTACTTGGCTATTCTTCCACCTTTAACTGTAGCATGGGTTAGGAGAAATGGACATATTTCCATAGGGGACAGTAAAAGCTTCTTAAGAGTGTGCAGTGCTCCTCAAAGGGACAAATGTGATGGCCCCTCACACCGCCAGCCCCTGGGACATTTGCAACATCCGTAGGTCGTGCCCTGTCTGCCCTGTCTGTTCTGTCCCACACTCAGAACGCCTCCAAACAACACAGGGAGATGAGAGTGCCTGCCCAATCACTTTAAAGCACATAACATTAGGAGAGATGTGGAGGCAGAAGCCATTCCAATTTCCTTTATCAGATCATGCCTGTGTGTGCGGGAGGGCATCAGGCTTAACAAATGCGGTCAAACG